GTTATTAAGCAAGAGGGTATTCTACCTTGTGAGGACAAAGTGCAAGCAATAAAGGAGTACAACGTGCCGTCCTCACTCAAGGAACTGAAGGCTTTTCTCGGTTTGGTTAACTTCTACTGTCGTTTCATCCCACACGCGGCAGAACGGTTACGACCACTAACCGACTTACTACGCGGCAACCCACGCAGATTGGAAATGAACGATTCTGCACGTACTGCATTCACTGAAATCAAAACGGCTCTTGCGCAACCCACTCTTCTCGCCCATCCCGATCCATCAGCCACGCTTAGTATAGCGGTTGATGCATCCGATGTTGCTATAGGAGCAGTCATGCAACAAAACATCTCCGGTAGTTGGCAACCTTTCGAGTTTTTCTCACGACGCCTCACTACCACGGAGACGAGATATAGCGCTTTTGGTCGCGAGCTGCTAGCAGCCTACTGCGCCATCAAACATTTTCGGCACGCAGTAGAAGGACGTCGATTCATTTTATTCACCGACCATAAGCCCTTAACGTATGCTTTGCATACCAAGTCTGACCGCTACTCACCACGAGAGTGCAGACATTTGGACTATATCTCCCAGTTCACGACAGACCTTCGTCACATCCAAGGCAAGTCGAACTGTGTTGCCGATGCTCTATCACGAATCCAAATGAATGCAGTCACCCTGCCGGTGCTCGATCTTCCTGCTATGGCCGCTGCCCAAGCAAACGATCCCAGCTGTACAGAAGCACCACACTCTACGTCCCTTCAGTATCAGGAAGTACCTCTGGCCACGACTTCTGGCACCATTCTATGTGATACTTCTACCGGTCTTCCTCGACCCATCGTACCCTCTGCTTATCGCCGTCTCGTATTCGATGCCCTGCATGGATTATCTCACCCAGGTATCGCAGCTACATTACGCCTCATCGCTGCACGATACGTCTGGCCGTCTATGAATAAAGATGTTCGTATGTGGGCTAAGCAATGCTTACAATGTCAACGATCAAAAGTGCACAGGCACGTAGCCGCCCCCCTCGGTACATTCACTACGCCTGATGCTCGCTTCGATCACGTTCACTTAGACATTGTAGGACCACTGCCACCATCGCACGGGTATGATCACACACTCACGTGCATCGACCGCTTCACCAGATGGCCCGAAGCTATACCCATCACGTCTATCACGGCGGAGACAGTTGCTCACCGCTTCGTAGAACGATGGATAGCTCTATATGGTTGTCCCTCGACTGTCACGACTGACCGAGGACAACAATTTGAGTCCGCACTATTCTCCTCACTTACTCGGCTGCTTGGTACGGAACGAATACGCACTACCGCCTACCATCCAGCTTCAAACGGTTTGGTTGAAAGGTTTCACCGGCAACTTAAAAGTGCTCTTCGAGCACACGAAAACGACGACTGGTACGAAACCTTACCGCTCGTTCTTTTAGGTATCAGAACGAGTTTAAAGGCAGATATCCAATGTTCCGCCGCTGAACTTGTATACGGCACGACATTGCGTCTGCCTGGGGAATTCTTCACACCACGGAGCAGACCTAATTTCGCTAAATCAGACTACGTCCAACGACTGTCTGCATTTATGCGAACGCTGCCTCCGGTGTCAACTCGAATACAACATCGACAGGTCGCTCTCCCTCGAGAGTTATCTACCTGTTCACACGTTTTTATACGAGTAGATTCGGTACGCAAACCTTTGCAACAACCTTACGAAGGCCCTTTTCGCGTGATCGCTCGTCACGAAAAGACCTTCAAGGTTGATCGACACGGCCGCGTCGAGATCGTCAGCATTGATCGTCTCAAACCAGCACACGTCGATGACAGTGCCCTATCTGACAACCTGAGATTCAATGCTAGACCTAGCAAACCTACTAGCGGGATCCTCAAATCATCTTCAGGTCCCACGCTAGATACATCTGAGACCTCATTCTCACGTCCCAGTCAACAGCACGCGTCATCTGCGCCGTCTACGGACGAGACGACAGTCTCACGTCCAGATCAGCAGACCACGCCGCCCTTGACTTCGGATGAGATTGCAGGCTCACGCGACGCGAACGAGACTGCCGTCTCACGTTCCGGTCGCCGAGTACGATTACCCGTACGCTTCCGCGAATAGTCGCACAGTCAACAACCGATACGGTGTAGGATTATTCCTATACTACACGTATGCTACACTCTTCTTTTTTTTGATTTTCTTTTTGTTTCCTGAGCCCACGCCTTCGACCATCTACGTTTGGTTCCGTCGACTTCAGTCAACTTTGGCGAAAGCTGGCCTGATCACCCACGCTCTTGTCAACGTACTCAGTCGATATATTGGTTTCGAATGCTTGGCATATGCTTGGTCTCGAACTTGGTCGTTATGGTCGCTTCTGGTTCATCGGCTCAACGTGGTTTCGTCCTTCGTCTGCAGCGTTTATGGTCCGGACCCGTACGAACGCCCTCTTCTGATTCTGGATACAAACCACTCTGGTGTAGCATGCCGACTCGAGCAATAAATACAACACATCGCTCCTGGTACTGTTCTCCGAAAACGACTTTCGTTGGCAACTCGACGATCAACGATCGCTTTCCTGTTCGCCAATTCTCTCGTCCTACAATCGCTCGTCAGCCGATCAGTCCCACGATTCAAACCGCTATTTATCGAAAGTGTAAACCCTTTCTAGCGGGGGGCTCCTGTAGTGACTCACGTTTATCACGAGAACACGACTGGTTTAATAAAAACAATTATTATTATAACCAACTGTACCAGTGTTTGTTTTAATGTGCTTTTGTTTAACTGTGCTAATTATAGCCATTTTGTGCTTCCATTACCTTCCATCATTGTTCCGCGGTTTTTGGTACTGTTCGCACGTACTCCTGTCTTCTGCTTTCGCTTGTACCTCTTCTTGGCACGATCTCGGTATTCGTTCAATACCACGAGATCGCCAACGAAATAAATCTGGTTACATTCAACCCTCGCCTTCTGATTTATTTGGCACGTGTTTCCTGGTAGCGGTGTTCACAGTTAATCTCCACTCGACGCCACGCTACAACGTCATGAGTTTGGTAGTTAATAGGTAAACATTGATAGTTCACGATATGATGCTGATCCAATATAATAAAGCACATAGCAACTATTGAAAACATCAATGAAAGTTAATTCTCAGTACGAAAATCATTGATATAATCTTATGGTTGAGCGAGTATCACATTACCAGGCAGGAGGTTGGTTCGTTGTAACATGGAAACAGTAAATTGATAACTAGGGTACTAAGAGATTATTGTTTCAAGACTAAATAATTAGTTTACTTGATTGATAATTTGTAAAAAGACGCAGTCAAAGCGATTGAAGGAGAACGGAGATTATGATAAAGGAGATAAGAAGTAGCTACTGGTTATGAGCTAATGATAGCCGTGGTAATTTATCAGATATGCACCAGACATAGCTAGTCCAAGAGGGGGTGGCAATCTACAGGCCAGTACATGTTTGCCAAGGCTCCTCTAAAAAGTATCCGATTTAAGTGGCTTGTACTGGTCAAATGATTGGACCTATCGACTAGAGTTATCCGACCTACCAGTCAAGGTCACTGGGCAATGGTGGACTAAAAGAACATTTTAGTCATGTCCGCAAGCTACGATGAACTCTGCTTCATTCATACAAATTATCAATTAAGTAAATTAATTATTTAGTCTTGAAACAATAATCTCTTAGTACCCTAGTTATCACTTTGCTGTTTCCATATTACAACGAACCAACCTCCTGCCTGGTAATGTGATATCTCATAGTATTCAGAATCCCTACTATCTTGAGACAAACCTACTCACACTACCATAAGATATACAAATCCATAAATAACTATCACCAGGATAAGTCCAGTCGAATATCGAACCAACTGCCTACTGGACACTACCATATACCTGGAACGATACCAAAACAACGAGAAGCGAGAGCAAAGAAAACAATTATTCTATACAAGCTCGTGCTAAGATATTGGATACTGTACATATTTGAATTGGTGCCTCGATTTCGAGCTGTTGGCGTTCTTTCAAAAGGCTAGTTTACTGCTTGTTTTTCAGTCAGGTGTTTAGTACGACGTATTCGATTTCTTATCGGCCTGCTCTCAGTGATGTAATAATTATTTCTTGTGTCCATTCTACGATTTTAGGGCAGCTTTGTTGTGACAATCTAGTACGCTCTTACACACATATTGACTTAACCAGCCTTTAAGATGTTGGTACTAAAAATTAACTTTCATTGATGTTTTCAATAGTTGCTATGTGTTTTATTATATTGGATCAGCATCATATCGTGAACTATCAATGTTTACCTATTAACTACCAAACTCATGACGTTAAGACCAGTTATATCTACCAAATCTTACGATAGTAAGATTCCCAACTTAATTATCGCCGTTATTTGGCATTTTGAAACTGATCACTCCTATTCTTCATTAAGTATATTTTGTTTGAAATTTGTACTCTAGGTTTTCGACACTCACACTCAACTGGGGTTCGAAGTCGTCGGTAGTTTTTGACAAGGTTAATAGTGTATCAAAGCCCTGTTTTCTAGTAGCTATAAAATACATTGCCGATTGGGAGAGCGGGAAATTTGTAGGGGTCAACTCCAAGTGGTGAATATTCATGTTAGATTGAGGTCTGATGCATCATGACTGGTTGGGTAAAAAGTGTTACAGATATCTGGTTCGAAATAATCAGGTTTAATTAAGAAAACCGACTCATTTGTGGCTCGGCAATATTTATTTTGTTTTCTCTGGAAACAAACTAACAGAGATGCACAAACCGCTTGTTTTATTTGTTTATCTCCTACTCTTCTTTTATTAAGTGTAGTACATATTTTTTTATATGGTAAACTGAAATCAAGTTTCAGTCGATTGGTTTTGCTCCATTTTATTGGTGTTGTGTAATAAGCATTGGTTTCGAGCTTTCTGTCTAAATAACAAACAGGAGCTTACGATATCAGGAATCCTTATAGTTTTATGGTATTTCAAATTCTAGATGACTGAAAGTCGTTTTCCGACTGATAAAAGAATTGTTTACATCTCTCCTAAAGAGCTTTCCAGTCTGCCAACAGATGGACCGATTTATGTACTATCAACTGCAGAAAACCCAGAAGTCAACCATTCAGCAAGTTGTAGTTCAACTGAACTTGGTGCATCTAGCCAGGATTCATCTTCGATCACTTGTTCAACGTTTGGTTCGACTTCAACTTCATCTACCAACAGTTCAAATTATTTTAATAACACATTAGTTCCATATTCATTCCCTTATCATGCTAACATTCCATATCCTACTCCTGTGGTTTCAACAAACTTAATTCTTCCTTATGGATTCTGCCCTCCTTTTCAACTTCCACCTTTTGTCGGTTCACAACCAGTTTCATGGGTAGCACCTGCTTTCCCAAACCACACTTTATATCCACCAAGTACCAATTTATTCCCAGAATCTGCTCAGTACATTCACCCCTACCAAAATCTACCTACTTTCATACCGAATGTCCCACCAAATTCATTCTTTCAAACATTCAATCCGCACAAACCACCTCCGTCTTTCAGTTTACCTCAGGTAACTTCGAAGTCCAGCAACGCCGTTCTCATTCATAATTCTGCTGCAGATGTTACTATTAATAATACCGTTACATGTGTCGCGAGTACTATGAATACCAACAATACCAAACATTCTTGTTCATTCAATCGATCAAACGAAGAAAATGGGTATGCGCATCTATCTTATTTTAAATAAAAATTTTACTATGCTACTAGATATTACCAAGCAAATGACTAGTTATTTACTTGGCTTAGTTATATATGACAACCCTTTCTCCAAAACCTATTGCCTATTTAACCTGGTGCTCTTTTGTTGACGTAAGATAAAATCATAAGTGAGATTTGTCTCTCAATATTGTAAGAAGAGAAACTGGATTGTAACTCAGTCATATATACTTCTAACTATTTCGAAACATTCCCGTCCTATTTTATTTTATGCAGTCTGGTAGTATCACTAATGACTTATTTATTTTATTTGAACACAAATATTGATACAAAGGAGCGCCGAATACATGTGCGCTACACAAGTCACTTGGTTTGTGTGTGCTGTGATGATGCCCGGGCGCCCAGACCGAAGCAGGTAGCTCTCTCAGGGGGCCACACCCAGAGCCTTCGACTTTAGGATTTGGTTCACAAGCCAGTGGAGCAACGTCAGGAGATGCATTCCCATGGTGGCCGGTGACTAATGATTGGTTCTTACTCCATTTGTTCTCTCAGGATACTGGAGCCAGGCCGTGTGCACCATTGGTTTGGAATGAGGGTTTCCCAACTCCCTTAGGTAAACCCTCCGTGTTCATGAACCCAGTTAAAGCGCTAGACATTCGCTTTTCGTCCTCTCACTTTCGTAAATGACACCGCCACGAAAAGGCAGTGAGTAATACTTATCTGGAAGTAGCTGTATACACGTAGCCATGTAAGAGTATTTCGAGAGCTAAAGCTAACCCTACCCACCCTCGACTGTACCGGGGCATTTGGGGTCTATTAAAAGTATGGGGGTCATAATCTATTTCTCGCGGCTGTACGAGATTAATATGCTTTATTCCTTAATCTGGAAGGCAAAATGTCATGATTAGTGCTATTTAAGAACAAAACGTCTTCCAGTATATTGTAATTAGCTACTATTAAGAATTATTCATTTTTATTTTGTCAAAATAAAATCAAAAACATAGTAATATTTCATTTTCACGCTCACATTTTGAGAGTTTTGTAAGTTGTTCAACTACTTTTTGAAATACCAGTTAAAAAGTTACTTGACTTTTTTCCTAAATTTTTCTTTGTCTTCTACATTCTTGTCTTTCAACAGATTTTCAGAACCGAATAACTCTAAAAGTGAATCAACGTCATCAAAACAATCGCATCCTCTACGATATACCAAACTGATCTACGCTTCGGAACTTGATTACTTTGCTTTTGACAGTAGTGTAAGTAATTTTTTTATTCCTTAGTAAGACAGTAAATTGTCAAGTAGCATGCATTTTTCATGCTCATTTTCGTGGTAATACATACTGTTGTTTTATAAATTAGTCACTAAAAGATGAGCAATGCCGTTTTTAAATCCTTTGTGTCGTACGAATTTCAATAAACAAATAACTCAATATGTTTACTTGAATGTGTAGCATAATAGTGCAATGTTCTGAAGTATACGCTGTATATTTAAAGGTAACCTGTATAGTCTCAAATCTAGTTCTCGTGCTTCCTTTTGTCACGTACCTTGTCATGTACCTATATACATATGATGTCCCTTTATACCAGTGTTTGTGTTCAAATAAATAAAAACTAGTCTGTCCTGATGGAAATCATGTTCTTTCCAATTTTCAAACACATTTTGTTAAGAGAAATTATTATTTAGATATTGATGTTTATCATCATTTCTGCAGTAAAAATTGCATGATGTATATTACATAACTAAAGGAAAATCAAAAGGTTATAACCTGAATAACTCAACTTTTCATCTGTAACTGTGTTGTCTATTAGATGATAGGTAGATTCCCTGTAGCAGAATGTATTGGATACTGTTTTGTCTGAAGTTTGCGTTCATTTACTGCGTAATTCAACTTCACTTCAAACAAGTTTATTCATTCACCTCTAAGCTCAATAGTAACCCTACATCTAAGACGCTGGGACTGACTAATTGAGAAATATGAGTATCACGTTCAAAACACGATTTTTCGAGACGTTTTATCATACATCGTAATGAGGATCTGTTTCATTGGCTTACGCTGAGTATAATTATGTCCTAAGTTTTCTATCTCGTCTGAGACGAAACGATGCTTTGTATAATAGAGCATCAAGATAGACATCATTTAAAGTTAATTGATCATATCGGAAAGAAATAGAAGAGGAAAGCATATGATATAATAAGCAAGAATAAAATGTGTTAAAGCAGGCTGTTCAAATTAGTGTACAACGAAGATAGATTACGCTCATTTACAAGATGCATCATCCTATTCTAAACCAATAAAAAGTAAATTGACTCATTCACTGGATACTTGAGTATGAATCACATTCCAAGTTTTAGGGTTAATGTTACTACCCGGTTGCCGAAATCGAAGTGGAACGACGCCCGAACCTGGGACATAGTGGCTACAAATTGAACACCTTCACCACTAAGTCATCGCCTCAAGTCATACGATTTATAAGAAATCTAGTGAAAAATTGGCAAAAGATAGGTATTGGTTTTTGTTTTTAGTTATGTTTGATAAAATCTGAAGCCAGTGAATCATGTGACCGCCTAAATCCTAACCATGGAGTCGTAATGAGGTAACAGTCACTAACACAACTATCCTTTAATCTATAGAACCATATTACAGACTTTCTATTTTCGCTCTGTTTTACATATTTCCAGCATTAGAAATTAATGTGCGGTATAAAAGACACTGAGATGACATACGTAGGACACTCTTACATTACTAAAGTTAATTTTTCTTATTTAGTCATCATTTTCACTGTCGAACCTCAATATTACGTCCACGGTGTTGTTACCGAACAGAAGGATTATTCTTCATAGATAACTGTGATAGCATTCATATGGTTTTCTAGCATTCTTAACTTGAAGGCCTCGGTTTTACATGTATGTATCAGTACTACCTTTACGATAGTGTTGAGCACCCGATCTTTTATTGGTCAAACTAATATCAAAAATGTATAGAAGATGACCTAGAGTGACATAAACGACTTTTGGTTTGTAATTTACTTGGAATAATCTTATCTATCACGCCTCCACCAACAATCACACAACAACTTAAATCAGTCAGTCAGTCAGCTACAACGTAGGACCAAGTGCATATATGCATCGGTCCAAGTTGCCATACCTCATTAACACAACAAGATGAACACCGGATTCATAGCAGTGGTTATGTCAAAGGTGGTAATATATAAGAGAAAGATTGCATATAGAGATATAGTACAAGAAGAAAAAATTGGTTCGTAGAAAGAAAGGTATGAAGCGATTTTAATCTCTTAGTTTAAGGCAAGACAGGGAGTGTATACACCGACGCCATTGTGATCGATTCTGAGCCATGTCACCAAGAGTCTCCAACCATTGGTTACGATAGTCACGCGGACCCCAACCAAGTAGTCTGCATCTACCAACATGGCTCAGATTAGAAGTTAGTGACTTCAATCACTGATGCCACGTTTTGGTTTGGCCGCCCCTAACTTTCTTCCAGCCATCTCCAACACCGGTTAGCATTGCACGTCGTGGTAATCGTTGTTCAGGTGTACGTAACACGTGGCCCAACCATCTCAGTCGATGAATATTCACAACCTCATCAGCTGATTTACCATCATCCCCTAATACCTTGAGTCTAACCTAACTATTACTTACCAGGTGATCCCAGCAGATGCCAGCAATATTTCTAAGGCATCTGTGGTCAAATACTAGTAGCTTACGAGTGTCTTCTACTCTTAATGGCTGTGTTTCGCTGCCGTAATTTAAAACAGAACGGACTGCCGCGCAGTATACTCGTCCTTTTATTGATAGATGGATATCTCGCCTTCGCCATAGGTGACGTAAGTTGGCAAAAGCCAAGCGAGCTTTTCGAATCCGTGCTGAGATTTCGTCAGACACCAATCCATTAGGGCTGATCAGACTTCCAAGATAAGTGAAGTTGTCAACGCGTTCGACTACTTCACTCTCTATCCTTAGTTCAGGTGTTGACACAGACCAGTCCTGAAGCAACAACTTGGATTTAGATGGAAAGAAGTGCATTCCAAACATTCTGGCATTGTTGCTTAGTGCTACCAAAAGACTCTGCATTTTATCAGCGTCTTCACCAAACAGGACTATGTCATCTGCGTATTCTAAGTCGATAAGTGGACCTCCTGGAAGGAGATCAATACCCGAGAATTCAGTAGACGAGAATGTTATTTCCATCAATAAGTCTATGATGAAGTTAAACAAAAATGGGAGAAAGTGGACAGCCTTGACGGACACCACTTGAGGTTGCAAAAGTAGATGACAGTTCGCCATAAGCTCTGACTCTATTGGTAGTGTTCGAGTAAAGAGCCTTTATAAGGTTTATGTACTTCTGAGGTACGCCTTTCAATGACAGACACTGCCACAGAATCTCGCGGTCTACCGAGTCAAATGCTGCTTTCAAGTCAAGAAAGACCACCATTGTCGGACGCCGATAAGTATGCCTTTGTTCTAGAACTTGACGAATGGTGAATATGTGGTCGACGCAGCCACGATCAGGTCTTAAGCCAGCTTGATTCTCTCGTGTTTGCAGTTCACGAGTCTTAGTTAAGCGTCTGATAGTTATCGAGGCTAGTATTTTAGATATTATATTAGTTAAACTCATCCCTCTATGGTTGTCACAGGATGATTTTAACCCTACCTTATATATTGTGACGATAAGTGATTGTGACCAGTCAGATGGAATAACGTCTAACTCCCAGATCTTAGCCAAAATATTAGTCAACCTAATCGCTAAAATTGGACCACCATCCTTAAAGACCTCTGGAACCAATCCCTCTGGACCAGCTGCCTTTCCTCGTTTCAGATTAACTGTAGTCTTTTGAACTTCTGCTAGAGTTGGGGGACCTACTTCAATGTTCCATTCACACTGTCTGGGAATGGAGGGTAGTTGTAGAGTAGCTGGAGGCTAGCTGAACTGTTCTAAACGTCTGGACTGGGAGCAGATGAGTGTCGTCTTTTTTCCGAAATAGTCTGACTTACACTTGACTTATTAATTCCAGTTTTTTTATTAATCTGTAGAGCTATCTTGTGTTCCCTATAGCCTCCGCCTTTTCCGTCTCTTTTGCTTTCGTTGCCCACCACTGCTCACGGTCGTTCCTTAGACTTTTGGTTAACCGAGATCTGATTTGTTGACGCTCTTCATCGTGTTCAAAGCCTGATGGGATGAGTTTACGAGAATCCATCAGTGCAATAGAACTTGAGGAAATCCACTGGTTCTTTGTAACCCTGTGGTTTAAATCACTGATAGATGTCAATGCTGTTTCCACAGCTACTTGTATATATCTAAGCAATATCTGGGTCAGCCTCGTTTTCAGAATTACCTAAGTGTGACCCCTACCTACTTTTGGTTTTCTCGTTACTCATTTAAGTTCTAATAGGTCTTCTGAGTGTGCTTTTTCTGCGTCCAGTGAGGCACAAGCAGATGCGTGCCCGTATTAGAGCATGGTCGGAGTTCAAGCAGGTACTCCAGAATGAGCGACAATCTTCTATCGACCCTCTCCAACGATGACTGATGGCAATATGGTCTATTTGAGTCCATCGTTGGTTTGGTGTAGGGGGTCGCCATGTTAGACGATGTCTCTCCTTATGGTCGAAATTTGCGTCTCAGTCAGTCAGTAACAACGTAGAACTTCGTACGTACGTACATCAGTTCGAGTTCCCATACCACATTAGCACAGAGATGCGGTTGTCGATTCAAATCCCGTAGTGGTAGAGGTAATAAGAGTATAAGCATTAATCGGAAACATTAAGGTTTGGAGATGTTATTTAGAGAGTATAATCCAGTGAAATAAATTTAGAAAGTGGAAAAAAGGGACATGAAGAATTCAGAAGATTAGAATTCGGGAGAACTCAAAGAGTGTATGCACCTGCGCCATTGCAAACGATTTTCAGCCATGTCATTCAGGGTCTCTAACCATCGGCTGCTATCATCTCGCGGTCCTCAACCAGGTAGTCTACACCTACCAACATGACTCAGTCCACTTGTCAGTGACTTCGTGGACTTGTGCCATGTTTTGGTCTGGCCGCCCATAGCTTTCTTCCAACCTACCACTGAACATCGCACGTCGAGGCAGTCGGTCGTTGGGCATACGTAACACGTGTCCCAGCCATCTCAACTGATGAAGTTTCACTACTTCATCAATTGATTTGCCATCCTTACCTAGTACCCGTTTCCTAACAACTGTGTTACTTACTCGATGGTCCCATGATATACGAGCAATGTTTCGAAGACACCTATGATCAAATACTAGTAACCTACGAATATCCTCTACTATCACTGGCCATGTTTCACTGCCATAAAGTAGGACGGGACGAACTGCTGCGCAGTAAACACGTCCTTTGGTTGATAGACGGATATCTCGCCTACGCCATAAATGACGCAAGTTGGCAAAAGCCAATCGGGCCTTCTGTATCCGTGCTGAGATTTCGTCACACACCAGACTACAAGGGCTGATGAGACTTCCAAGATAAGTGAAGCGGTCGACACACTCAACTACTTCACTCCCTATCACTAGTTCGGGTGTCGATGTAACCCAATCTTGAAGCAACATTTTGCATTTCGAGGGAGAGAATCGCATCCCGAACATGCTTGCATTGTTGCTTAGAGTGGTCAGAAGACTCTGCATTTTGTCAGCGTCTTCACCAAATAAAACTATGTCATCAGCATATTCTAAGTCAACAAGTGAACCTCCCGGTAGAAGTTCAACCCCTGGAAATTTAGATGAGGAGAGTGTTATCTCTAAAAGTACGTCAATGACAAAGTTGAACAAGAATGGGGAGAGTAGACAGCCCTGACGAACACCACTTGAGGTAATCAATTCTGATGACAGTTCACCATAAGCTCTCACTCTACCAGTTGTGTTCGAGTAGAGAGCCTTTATAAGGTTAATGTACTTCTTTGTGTGTCTGCTAAAAATAAACGATTGTATGAGCACAGTTGTAGCAGACGATCACCATTATCTGTTCGTTGTGCCGAAATACTAAAATACCCACCTAAATGCCTTTCTGTTTAGTTTAAACTACCTATCTGGGCATTAAAGTAACCTGCTACGAGCACTATGTCTGAACGTTTAGCTTTCTGAAGAAGTTCAGATAGCTTTCTGTAAAATTCATCTTTCACTTCATCTGAGCTGCTTAAATACATAAACATATTGAGTATTTCCAGCTCCTTACTGCGATAGAACTAGTATATATGGCGGCTCTTCTTAGCCTTGTAAAATCTCTTGACAGTCTAACAGTACAAAATAGGTGTGGTGCTTATTTTCATACAATGATTCAAATGTTCCACATACGAGACGATTTTTATATTATCTCTGACTATTCTACTGAAAAATAAGTCTGTTATCCGATAGCATGTGTATTAGATTATTTTTTCCACATATTTTACGTTTGAAGCAAAAGGAACCATAAGTGTCGACAATAATACATTCAGGCATAAAATGATATGTTTATAATTTAAAACGAAATAAATGGATCTATTATAGGGCGGGATATTATGGTTCGATTGAAGGATTTTCGCTTATCAAAATCGATGAGTAGAGTGGTGTCCGAGATTTGGTATGTCACGATACGGTGTTTCTGAGTTATGGTTACTCACACGACTTAATTATTGGTGTAAGCCCCCAGAATGATTTTAGATAAAAATCAAGACCACTTACCAGAAGTATAGGTTTCCTTTGTGTAGCAAAGTGATATGCTTATGTAAAAAATATTAACACAAAAAAACGACATGGTAAAATGTTATAGGCGATTGAATAAACTCAGCTGGTAGGTCACTTACTCTCTAATGTATTAAGTCCTGACTGTTTGACCTAATTCTAAACCATCATATCAAGATCTGTCTGATCTAATATGATGATCAATTAATTTCTTATCAACACTTTCAATAACTAATTCTTCATTACGTTCAATACCTCAACTAGAAAAAGAATTCCATTAGTTAATAAAAAAAGCCCGTGCGAGTAACATCATGAACGTTCATACTCACATATATACATTAGGGGAATATCTCGTATTGTTGTGTATATTAATAACACCCATGGTATCTACGCTTTCAAGTACGGATTTATTTACTCGACTTTGAGCCACCGTTTGTATTAGGGTTATTGGTACTGTTACTGCTACTACTAACACTACTAATACTGTAGTGAAGGTGGACACAGGTGAGGACAACGGAATGTATTTTACACAAAATTACAGGGCATGTCAATAAAATCTGAGAATTATCAGAATGGGTTTTGTGGAGAGTTTTAGAAATTTCACAGGTTGAAATCATAAGTCAGTTGAAGCTAGACCACCATTGAAAACCTGGGAGCACTGGACGGCCGTTTCGTCCTGGTATGGGACTCCTCAGCAGTGCGCATCCACGATCCCGCACCACACGGGGCTCGAACCCAGGACCTACTGGCTTCGCGCGCGAGCACTTAACCACTTGATTTCAACCTGTGAATTTTCTAAAACTCTCCACAAAACCCATTCTGATAAAAATCAACTGCTCACTAGTGACTGACTTCAGGAAAAACTTCTGGAGTTCTAGTGAGAAGCCGTTGCCAGTGGAGTTCAATCGGTCTGTTGTGAGATAATAACTCACTGAAGACAATGGTGTACGGTGGCGCAACTTCGTGGATTGGTTGAAGTCAGACATTAACACCGTTGGACGCCGGCTCAGTGGTCTAGTGGTTAAGTGCTCGCGCGCGAAGCCAGTAGGTCCTGTGTTCGAGCCCCGTGTGGTGCGGGATCGTGGATGCGCACTGCTGAGGAGTCCCATACCAGGACGAAACGGCCGTCCAGTGCTTCCAGGTTTTCAATGGTGGTCTTGCTTCAACTGACTCATGATTTCAACCTGAAAAATCTGAGAGCTATGTATCAAATCGTTAATTTGCAAAATGTCCACCAGTTGTCTCAAAATGCCTCAGACTTCATTGTTCTTACATTTTCATACAAATTGCATTCTATTCCCGCTTTTGCTTTCTTGATCTTCCCTCATCGTCTGCTGCCAGACATTACATTCCTGACTCGCATAATATACTACTTATATCAACATAAATAGCACGCACCACAATACTAGTACTAACGCTAATACTACTACTACTACTACATATCTGTACGAATTTGAGTAGTTGTTGTGGGGTGCGGACCTGCTACTTGTTGGTTAAAAATTAAGTGTTTTAATCATCAAATCACTGATTTATACGTCAGATAAATAATTTGAGTGTGTAGAAAAACAATGTCATTTAAATAAATTAACCTTTCCAAATCAGTTCGTTAATATATAAAGAAATATGCTATGCCCACTGACTACCGAACACTTATTATGCTTGGACTATTGCTTTCTTTTATTTTCAAATAGACTGGATCGTATGTAGCTACACGTCAACTTATTGATTTGGAAGATCGATTTGAAAATGAGGTGATTGCTCGACGTCATCGCGCTACTTTAAATGATCCAGTAAGACAGCCTCCTGAACGTCCTGCATTGTCGGATACTGGTGAGTAGTAGTAAACTCTACTCTTTTGTTTATGGCATAGCTCCAGTTAAACAGAACAAAGTAAATTGTTTCTGAAGAAACAAATTGAGTGTGCAAGTTTTATTGGGTCCCACGTAATCGAGCCAAAAATAATAGAAAAGCAGTACTATGATCTATCTCCCTAGTCCGATTATCGATTAGTTCATCTATAATGCCAGTAGGACCGGTGAACGTCTTATTTTTTGATTAACAGCGATCAACAAACAAAATCCAAAATCTTAACGTTTATTGTTCCTCAAGTTGTGTCCAACCTGGTGTCCAATTAGAAGAGGAAGACAGAAGGCAAATCATTTTGCCATTGTACTTAATCAAATTATAATTCAAAACTCAAACAACATACCTGAAATCTCTGACTATATAGCAACACGATTAGCAAATTACGATTCGTAAATAACTTGGTCATAAGTGATACATGACTAGAGTAATAGAGAAATAACCAAGTAATGGTAAATCTGGAGTAGTAAGACATGGCAAAGATTTATAAATCAAACGAAAGCTTAGAACCAGGGAAATTAAAGAAAATGCAGCAGTCTAAACATTCGACAATCATACAATAAAAATATAAATATTTATTCCTCGTATATTAGCCTCAAAAGTTATATTTCTTCACTATTCATTCCATTATATCACAATTATTTTCAAGAAATAGTTTCTCGACGATAATCAGTACAATTTTGAAGTCTAAAGTAAGATAATTTTTCTCAATAGACTAGATGGAACAGCACCGTTAGGTGCCTTAGTTAATATTAAATGGGTGGGGTTAAGTAATACAGTTTTATTAAATCTAAATGTGAACGGGATTAGGCGGGAAATCAGTCAGTCAGTCAGTCAGCTACAACGTAGGACCAGGCACATATGTGCATCGGTCCAGGTTGCCATACCTCATTAGCACAGCAAGATGAACACCGGATTCATAGGAGTGGTTAGGTCAAAGGTTGCAATAAGGATATAGTATAGGAAGAAAGAATTAGTTCGTAGACAGAAAGAATGAAGTGATTTTAGTCTCTTGGTTTAAGGGAAGACAGGGAGTGTATACACCGACGCCATTGTGATCGATTCTGAGCCATGTCACCAAGAGTCTCCAACCATTGGTTACGAAAGTCACGCGGACCCCAACCAAGTAGTCTGCATCTACCAACATGGCTCAGACTAGAAGTTAGTGACTTCAGGCACTGATGCCACGTTTTGGTTTGGCCGCCCCTAACTTTCTTCCAACCATCCCCTACCCCGGTTAGCATTGCACGTCGTGGTAATCGGTGTTCAGGCATACGTAATACGTGGCCCAACCATATCAGTCGGGAAATACAGTTAGTTTGTTGTATAATCCCACGGAATGAAATATAGCTATATATGGTTGGGATTTTCCGATCTGTTGTTACTTTTCGGGTGGGATCTTAAGGGTTATGCAGTCCAGTGGCTTGTAATTCTAGCTTCTTGGAACACTATTAACAAACACTGACACAAAAAATGTGTTAAGAGTTCTCTTGTGTGGTCTCTGCTAACGACCTAACAGATAAATAATTCTTAGAGTATATATTCTAAAATAATATCGTCTATTTGTCTGAGCGGCCGATTTTCAATAATTGATGCAGTGTTTCGCCCCCTTCTACTTCTGCTTGAATAGCTAGTTATCGACTTTCAAAAACCATAGGTGCTATTTGAATGAAAGTATAGAAACCTATCTTTTGTTGTACTGAATGGACATGCCGCTTTGAGTGTAACTTTACCCCCCCCCCCACCAAATGTAGCTCATCAAAACACCTCGAATAGAGTTCTAGGGATCGTAAAACTCAGTGTCTTGAGAAGTTATAAAACAAGACTTATAAAAGTCTGGCAATCTTATTCTAGTGTATAAATCCGTATTTGTTTGGGAAATTCAGTTGATCCTATTGTTTAAAACAAAATGGGGAGTCGTAGTGTAGTGGACGCTACTCACAAAGCTGCTTGTAAGTAGTGTCTTGCGGAACGTTGCCTCAAAGTTGTTGACGGAGTAAAGAGCTTCAGTACATTGAAAGCACAGCGTTAGCAGAACACTTGGAGACCAGATGATAAAATTGTTCAGATTCCAGAATACACCGAAAGATGTAAAAGGACGAGTGAAGGCTATGTATACGTATAATGTAAATGGTCTGTAACTTCTCACAATAAATATAAATTCCTTCTGCATATTACCTTCCTTTACAATAGCGATCGGTGCGAATTAATTACACAGTTACTTCACAATCTCATTGCATCAATTCTATAGTTACGTAAATTGTTATGAAGTAAACTGTGGTAAACTTGGTCAAGATAAGTTTAGATGGCATAGTATCTATTTCATCTGGTCAGTTGGTTAATTATACACATCTATTTATTATCTATTTATTTATTAACAGAGCATCGACGTAATTCCCGTGCTTCACATCTTCATCGTTCGAAAAAGTCGACCCACAAATGTGATACAGTGAATTCAATGTTTGACAATAATTCCGATAATGATGATGGATACTTGGCGGCTATCGGTGATAACGCAGAAACTTCAAAAGATGCTTGTTTATCGACTGAATCTAGAAATAAGGTATTCTTAATTGATTGTTATAATACTTATTGATATTTTTTATCATTGCTGATGTTATTTTGTAAATAATAATATATACATTTGATGCTCGCATCCTATTCGTCAGCAATGGTTTAGACTGAAAATGATAAGGCTTAAAGATGTTTACATGCAATCGAATTATTCAAGTAAATGGATTGGTGGCATTCAATAGTTAAAGAATCCGTGTTTCATCTATTAGGTCATTAATTTAAACTATTCTTCATTTATTTCGGTTCTTATAGATGGATTATAGTATTACTGCCCTTCTCACTAACAGTACTGCTCAAAGTTTATAAGTTTATGAGTATCGACACGACATCTATGGTGCATTTTAATTGGTCGGCATCCTATGTATCACAGAACCCAACAATAAGGTTAATCATCATGGCTAGTTCTCGTCAGAGACTGTCAATATTAAACCAGGAAACATTGGATAGCAAATTTTTTGTGGTTCAAGATTGCTTCTCTGTATTTCAAATTTAGACATGATTCCAGGACACTCAGTAAGGAAAATACCTCTACACTAATGAGTGCGATTCTAATGGCTTACATTTGAAACTGCAGTCGATTTTCGATAAACCTCAATCATCATCCATTCTTATCTGTAATAAGTGTCTCATCCTCAATATGACTTATCTTGATTGATGATAAAGGCTTCATATAAAAACCGGGATCTCTCAGTTACTGGTTGTGGTGGTTTGGTTAGAACATGCATCATGTGTCCCCAGCCATTCTCAACTGTGACGCGGTGTGTTTCCTGGCGTAGTAGTAAGTTGAAATAAAATAACTCACGTACTGGTAACTTCTTTCAGTACATATCTCATCTCTTTTACAAAAACACACTTTACTCGATTCCATGCTAATGATTGTTTTTTATATTGCTTTAAATTACAGAACTTATCCATCGATCATACAAAACATTCAAAATCATCATCATCTAACTCTCATCATCATTTACGTAAACATAAAGTCAATAATTATGAATCTATTTGTGCATCTAATAATAGTATTAATAACACGAGTAATAATAGCATTTTAAATTCTGATTATCACACTGTCAGTGGCCATTCCATAGGTCAACGTAGTATAAGGCAACAACGTGAAGTCGCTTATAAAATTGAACATCCTAATCGTTTACATCCTGATATTTGGCATAATGAAGCTAACGAGTTCAATGATGGTCCAGCTTGTTCTTGTAAACCGAAATATCGTATTGGACCATTACACAATCAATACGAAGGTGAACAGGTAATGTTAATATAATTTTTTTTGTACTATACGGTTATACTAATCATAATGATATAGATCATAAATGTCTGTCATATTTTTGTTGTATTGGGAAGGGCCATATATATTTTACTGTCCATGTAATAATTGTCTTGTTTTTTTCCGAATTTACGACCAAGAATAATAGTAATCGTCCAGTAGTAAGGAATTACTAAAGGGCGAGTTCATTGGTTAGAGATTTCGACTTTCAACCACTAATTCAAAGGTTTGTACCCCATCCCACCTACTTCAGTTCTGGTAACCGGATAGTATCACTAGCCGTCAATACCATTTGCATGAATCTGTACGTTCTAAATGAGTTAATTGAAAAATCAGTCGCCAAGGATGAATATTAAAGACCACAAAACCATCACTAGGTCTTTGTTTCTTAATTTGTCATTTTTGACTATCTTGCCTTGATTTTTTTAACTCTTCTGTTTGATGCGATGAAATGTAGGAACCTTGACTGATTAGAGTTTTTTTTTCCAGATTGCACTACTTTGTTTATTGTTGATTGAATTCTAATGAAGCAGTTGCCCATGACTAAATTTTACGTCATCTTCAGACAATTTTTCCCATTTATAAATTCGAATAAGATAATAACAACGATCTCTGTAGAATAATATGAATTCATTAACTTCGTAAATTCTCGACTACTTACAACCTAGGAATAGTTGTATTGATGATCTACAAACGGTGTACATAATTTATACTATGATTTCAGAAAGAATAATGTGAATATTGTCGAAGAAAATGCATGGTAACATTTCACAGGAAAAAATAACTTTAAAAATTACGCAGCAACCATTACAAAAAAGGTTTGATTAGAGGAATAGTGAGTAGGTCCGGGATAAGACACACGAATGAAGAAAATAAACTTATTACTGAGACCCAAACATGAGAAGCTACTGTTGAGCCGGCTTTCTGAGAACTTCAACGGAGCCTCCAGAGGCCCAAAAGGTACCGAAGAGTCCTAGCCAATCAGAGCACGACGGAGCATTCTAGAATTCCAACGTGGTGTGCTACTATTGGTCAGTAGCATAATGTGTCGTTAACGGATTGGTCGAAATATGATGTTGATTTAACAAACGCTAACATCTATAAATACCCATGTTTTCTGTACAAAAACGAACCTTGGAGTAAAGTGTTTCTTTCGTACTTTGCGTCTTCTTTCTGGTGTTCAGGTCGTTGTATAGTTCTAGCGTGTGGGTTATCAGAATAGCTTAGGAACGAATATAGCGTCCAAATCAGCAAGACTCAACAGCTACCCAACTAAGTGTTAGGTTAGATAGTAACACCGCTGGTTGTCTGCTCAGTGGTCTAGATGTTAAGCGTTCGAGCGGGACTGAAGGTCCTTAGTTCGAGTCTCACGTGCGGGACCGTGGATGGGTATTTCTAAGGAATCCCACACTGGAACTAAGCGGCCTCTAATACTTCCAGGTTTCCAGTGATGATCTAGCATTAATCGGTTCATGATCTCAATGGGTGTTGGGAACTGAGGTCACTAGGGCAATGCTAAACTGACAACAGTATCCTTTCGAATGCACAAGTCCAGTTTAAGCCTTTTGACAGCAATAGTTTAGCTGAAATACAATAAATTCAAAGTTCTCACTAATTATTTTTAAAGGATTTTACAAATGATTTATTACTGAGTATTGACCAATATCATGACTGTTTGGTTCTTTTAGTCTTGATCGACTCCTCGCGATGATTTCGAAATATCATTGTCGTACTCTCTATTGAGTAGATTAGAGGTGATTGCACTATTCAAAGTGGGTCAACTTATTAGTCTCGAATTTTGCGAAATGTACTCAGTTTAGGAAGTTGAATAGTAGTATATCAGCACTAACCCTTAAATAGTTATTGATCAATGCCCAGTAAAATCACCTATAGTTTGTAAATAAATTATTTTTATATTCCTTACATTTGACTTTGAATCCTACTGGTTTGTAGGTTCAGACTTCACTTCGATCACTTTGGTTCATCCATTTGACTAGTATTAATAGCTATCTCCCGCTCACACACGCAAAGTATGGTTGTTCTTGATTCGTCCAATTACATTATCAATTAAAATTAATCTAAGTATAAACTCTCGAAATACTATAATTATCCAGTTATTTCAGAAAAAAACTCTATTTCAGAATTCAAATACACTAACAGAAACTGACCAGTATTTATTTCTAAATATCAACAAATAAACATATTTGTTATTACCTAATAACCTCTCGACTTAGTAGCTTAGTGGACGATGACATCGTTTAAAGTTATAGGTACTGGGTTGGAGTCCCTTCCTGAACACATACTGGAATGTGACAGGTATATCCAGCTAGTGACGAAACTCGTGTCCTAGATTCCTCTAAGAAAGCCATAATCTAAATTTACCAAAGTACTCTTAAGGAAATATCAAGGCATTTTCTTATGATGTACATATTTCCATAATAACTTTGATCAGTAATGGTATTCAGTCTTGAATATCAACAAGTAGATAATATTTAAATATAACTCTTAAATGTCTTTTTATTGTTTTGTATTTTAACAAACATAAATCAATATCATAAATTAACATTTAGTTATTTTTAATATTTATCTGTCTATTTTTTCAGCCCATTCCGCTATGTATTCCAGAATCAAATAATCATGATCGTCTTTATCATTATCGTGTGATTATATCACCGACAACTAATTTTGTTCAACCAAACCCATCGAAAATTACTCATAATGAACATGATTATCTATTCGATGGTTTCTCACTGTTTATGCATTATAAATTAGATAAGGTAGATCTAATTCGTTGTGAATCTCGTTTTCAATTAATTTAATGATTAGTTCATTAGTCTTTTCAAATACTATAGCATCTAATGATTTTGTTTATTGCCTCTGTTGTATATTCATTTCAAAGATCATATCCCCTATTCCTCTTGCAATATCTCCCAATATCCTGAGAATACCGTATTATAAAAACTTTCAAACACCGACTAGACAATTTCGCACAGAACTGACACTGAACACTTCTTGACTTTGATGTATGATGATCCTTCACCACCTGTGAAGTATCTAACGTCCGATGCAATCCTGTTGACTTCTGTTTTTATAGATACTCAATCAACAACACAATATTCGGTTAGTGAACTCGAACAGATCACTGGTTCAGATAACCTAAAATATTACAGTATTGTGGATTCATCAAGACGATCACTCCTTAAAGTAATTAATTTGTAGCAGGTTACAATTTAGGAATGTAGAGTATCTCATATTACATCGGAAAATCAATGTTGATTGGATCGATTTTCCACCTAAACTATATTGCAGCTGATTTGTACTATGTCATAAGGACTACTTAAGAATTCCACCGTTTTTGATATAACAGATCAGCCAACCCAAAGCTTTCCCTACCTATAGAATAGTCGGAGTACATTTTAATGTGTACTTTAGTGAATACATAGCTGCTAGCCACGAAATACACTAATGCGCATGAAACCGTTACTCCACTGCGTTGCAGATTAGACTTCTAGGTGAAAGGGTCGGGGAATGGCCTAAGAAAACCACCTCACTCAAGTCGAATGGTGGTGTGGCACATATATATTTAGCACCCCTTCATACTAATATATATGTTTTAATAAGTAAAACCAACCTATAACACAAACATCTACGTATAATTATAATATTTTTCTCCCTCCATATAGTCAAACTAAGTACATGTGCATCTAAACAGTTTACGAGTTATCGTTTTTATTTGGCAGATATAATAAATTACCAAATTAAAGTAACTGATTTATTAAATACAGAGTTATATAATAAACGCTACATGCACAAAGAAGATTGAGGAATCGTTCTTAGAGAAAGTTTGATCATGATGATTATCCGAAATAGGTTTTCAATGAAATGTGCGGACCGATGATGGGGAATAAGAAACACCAGACTTTCAACCATTATCGGGTTACTATCCAGTTCAAAACTCAGGTCATAGTTGAATTATGGTTGCGATTAGGAGTTTAGATTAGCGTTAGAATTTAGGTTTAAGATTGGTAGTTAAGATACAGAATATTGGTTAGAAGTTAGGAGTAATGGTTAAAAATAGAGTAAGAATGCTTTCCTAGTCACATGAATGAATACTTGTACAGTTGGTCCTTTGATTTTGAATGTTAAAAACCTTTTAATTGCTTTCAAACAATCATAAATTATAATTCCTGTGCTTTAACCTCTCCATGTTACCCATTTTTATGCATCGTATGACCTGAATATTGATGATATTAAATAATATAGATACCAACTATCTATCATCAGACCTTGAATATCATTCACAGATTCAATAGCCATTACCTGTGGTATGATTGGTTCACCAACAAAGTATATTTTAGAAATCCCCATATTGTGAATTAGAAGAACGCATATATAAGCGAACAATATTGTTTTCAATTAGGTTTTCATCAGGTTTTACTGTAATAAACAATAATATTTATGTGCATATATGAAATTATTAAACCAATCAAGGCAGTTTACGCGTCTGTAATAATAGTGGAATAAATGACATGAAATAAACATAATAAGTAGAAAGTACAAATTGATAGTGCGATGATGACAAGTGTATTAGTTGTGATCAGAATAACAACGGCTTGAATCAATGTCTCATAATTCGAAACAAGTCAATGACTTTGAAAAATATAAATGCTGAAATAACATTCATTAAAACTATAAAATTACTTAATAAGAAGTATTCAGATAATTGGACAATGAAGCTTATATTTGATTGGTATACCCATATAAATATAATCGTATATTAGAGTGAAACCTGGTGAGGATTTAATTTAAAGTATATTTTTACTGTTTCTTTCAAATTATATTCCTTTTCATTTAATTTTCAAGGATCACAAATACTATTTCAGCTCTTTTGTTAATTCTTATTAATTTATGGAAATCTAATAATCATTTTGTTGTATTCAAAGTTACCTTTGTATTGCTATATTTAAATTTTAGCCACCTCCATGTCAAGTTCTACGTTTCAATCTGTTATATGATATTTTCCCGATTGAAGAGGAATTCCCTCAGGTTAGACTTTTCTATATGTTTCTACTACACTTGGTATTGTGTTTTGATTGTGATGATTACTGGGTTTCACAATCACTATTAATCCCAACTGAAGAATTGTGATAAACTGGCAGATCCCAGTCATATACAGCTTTGATTCGTATCTCGGGGTCTTCTCATAAATTGACCACTTTCGCTTTTACTCCATTCCATCATCGGCAAAGTATGCCCGATGTGGAAGTCACTAGGAGGACATTCATAACACATCTCCAAACCACCGAAGCCGGTATTTCAAGATGTCACCAAGTGAGTTATTGTCACTGTGCCTGAACGCCGAACCTCCACATTATTAATATGGTACTGCCACTGGATATCAGCAATTCTTCGGAGACAACGATGATCGAAACATAGTCGTAGGACATCTTCAATTCGGAGAGACCAGGTTTCACAAGTATGGTACAGAATTGGTCACACCGACGCGTTGTAGATCCAAATTCTGACATCTAGACGAATATTACGACAACTCCAAAGGTACTCCAGATTAGAATGAGTCTATCTGCCTTTCACTGTATGTTGATTGATCTAATTGCACCACCATCAAAACTTTCACAGCTACCTAGATAAATGAATTTTTTTATTACTTCTAACGGATTACCACAAAGAATGTGTAAGCATTGACTCCTACGAGTATTGCAGAAGTACTTTACATTTAAAAGATATGTAGTGTATACCGTAGCTTATCCTTCAATTGTTTAAATATTTTCATTTTTATTTTTCAGTATTTTACTGTTCGTTCATTAGATCTACTCACACAATATGTATTCATAGAATTACTGGAGTTGTTAGATTTAAACTGGAAACCATATGGAGCAAAGGAGAGCTGTAATGTGATACATTTAATGCCAAGATTTATACGTATTTTGTCAAATACTGCTACTACTACCAATGATAATTTTTCGATTACAAATACTGCCACTACTACTAACAATAGTATTTCAATAGATAACAGTAAAGAACATAATATCGAGTCAAATAAATTAATCGTTTGTATCGACGATAGTAGTGATAATAATACAGTAATTGGGGAATTACTACCCGTTCATGTAATAATGCGACACTGGTTAAAAGAGGCACTGACTCCGGTAATTAATATGATGGAATTATCTTCAATACAGCGTATGACTACAATTGAATGGTCAAATCATATCGCTAATTTACGAGGCACATTAGCTTGCTTTCCAGGCAAAGTAAGTTGGTTATTGATCGAATTTAAATCAGTCGTTGTTAAGATATGTACATCTTACACTGATTGCTTTTATGTAGCCAATTTGTGATCATTTTTACGGAATGTGTTGGGATGGCACCCAAAAAGCACGATGAAGCTTCTAGAGGCTCTAAAGGAGACGAAGATATTCCATCCAATCATAACCCGATAGAACCTTCTAAAATATCAACGTGGCATGCCTTTATTGGACAGTTGTATAACTTTCCTACTTGCGGATTATAATGATGTTATAGCCTATTATAAGAACTATAAATACCCCTGTTTTTGTGCACATTTTCGACTTTTCTTGCTTCTTCTGTCTCTTAGTTTGTGATTATCAGGTTCTACACGTTTGAGCGCTGATATTTGTATACCGTATTCTGCCGTAATCAAGTATAAGACATAATAGAATAGATGAGTTGTGGCTATCAACGAAATTCGGAACGCACATTTCGTCTTTTTTAGGACTTGTTATCTGAATCCACCTTCATACCAATGTTGATGTTCACACTAAAACTTTTTAAGTGCACCCAGCTGAAGAGTTCGAAATAGGATGAGATGCACGTCCTCAAATCCACTGCTAGATGTGATCTATCTATTCTGTTCAACTACTCAATGGGATTATTGAGACCATGTCGTAGTAAAAATCAAAGTCCAAAATAGAGGAGAAACATATATTTCATTGACCTATCCTATCATTTGGATTGTATACTGTTACTGACTAGTAAATGTATTCTGATAACTTATTACTTTTCTCAACTCCCTCTCTTTGTGTGCCTTTTAATTTTAATATTGCAGAAACCATCAACTATACGCATAGATCAATTAGATCGTCAATCTGTAACAGGTCAATCAAATGAAACCATATTAATTTATCCACTCATAGTACACATGACTTATACACCAATGAAATTAAGTTTAACGCGTGAACCAAAGTATAAATCTGTACTTAAAAATTTTATGAAATTACAATATTTAATGATGAATAAGCCAAGAATTAGTACTTCTGATCGTGTACAGTTGGTACAATTAGCCAGTGAATTAGAAGAGATGGAGCATTCTGGGTAAGTTCTGTTTCGATCGTTAATGTAATGGGTTTGTGGTGATTGTTAACATTTATAGACTAAATAATGAACTGACTAACTTCGCTCAAACAAGCATTAAGAACCAAGAAGCACCGAAAAGCTGTTTTCCAACTGTTTTTTGTGGACTCACCGTATCCAGTATCCTGGTTTAAGGGCCTAACTTATTATTTTTATTCTCTTACTTCGCTGCGTAAACGGAGTGGTTAGGACTTTTCCGACAGAGGCTAAAAGCTGTGGTCGAATGAGAACATTTTTTGAGGACAAGAAAACTTACCACCCCCCTGTCGTACCATGATGTCTCAAGGTTTATTAATTCGATAACTATGTTTGTTGTCTTTTAAAATCGATATTTCATTTAGCGTTTTTTAATGCAACAATCCAAATCAGGTATTTTTCAAAGTAAAAAATTGTATTCAGATTATATTTTCTTAAACAGTTGCATATAACAACACTTGGCTGTTATGGTAGGGATTTTAAACATCTGAAGGTCATTTCACAACTTGATTTTACAACAGATAGCGTCCCTTTATTATCATAAGATTTGGATTTTTTCTATTTATCCGCATTCCTTGTACAGTAAAATCGAGTTGAGGGTCGCTTAACAGATAAAACAACATGTATTCGGTTACATGCTCTAATTTCCCCCTCCTCGTTCGCTTCGATCTAGGCAATCAAGATTGGTATTACAAACTACCTGGTAAAACACTTATGACTCAAAAGTATTATGTACAGATGAACACGTGTACTTGCTGAATATTCTCTGTCTAGTGGAGTGAGAATATATAACACATATAGTGCCGTATTCGTTGGGAAGCTCATTCAAACTTCAAACTATTGTATACAGATTGGTTGATTGAAATAGTGAATAGCATAAAAAGATTTTAAAAATGTGTCACAATTAATTTTATACCTAAATTAATCAATCTAGTTACTATTTTCCAATTATTTTACAATCTTGTTATTTATTACCTCTAATGATAAATATCTGTCATTTTTTCTAGGGTACATCGACGTGAAGTTACTGTAGAGATTAGTTGTGAAGGCTTTTATCGAACTGGAATACGACCAGATATACCACAATATGCATTGAATTTAGTCTCATTAATAGCTCACCTACGTTTTCATAAATCGTTGGAAAGTTTGGAGAATCGTTTGGGATATACATTTAACGATAAGTCTTTACTACATGTAAGTTTCTGTTCTGCTGGTCTTTATGTGTGTATGTATATATGTACGTATGTTTGGGAACACGTACAACATAGAACATTATTTTATATTTTATTGTTGTATATTTAATTCACACAAAATTTGGTTTAAGTGAACTGAGCACCAAAAATAGTATACATCATACAAAATAAAAAGCTAACATTATAAAGGGATAATGAAGAAGAGGGGAGTGCAATCAAAAGAATAAGTGATCACAAACAGTATAGATAAGTTATTTAAAATTACAATCAAGGAAGACCTCTTTTAGTTTAGAGAGCCTTACTTTTATGAAGAGTGTAAAAAATACAGCAGGACAACTACCAGCTTCTATTCTAAAACATATTTGATAATACTTCAAGCTAATCAAGTTGCACCCTGTCTGGGATCTTAACCAGCGAGTTTTGATGAACCAATAGATCCCTGTTATATACAGCTTTAATTTATATCACGGTCCTATGTCGCAAATTGACAGCCCCTCTGTTTCTTCTAACCTATATTGTCATCGGCAATTAATACTTGATGTGGAAGCCTCTGGAATGACATTCGTAAAACATGTTTTGGCTATTGAAACTGGTCTTTCAAGTTGGTGGCATTAATTGGATTATCGTCACTCTGTCCCCGAATACATATTCCCGAACATCCACATTAGCATGATTTGGGCACTGGATATCAACAATTCTTCGGAGTTAGTGACGACTGAACACAAAGCGTTGGCAAACATCCTCACCTTGGAAGGACTAAGTTTCAGAAATACGGAACAGAACTGCCATCATAGACGTATTTTAGACCCGACCTTTTACATGCAGATTGACAAAACAATGACGATAGAAATAGCTCAGATAGGAAGAAGTCTAAGTTGTGACATAACTATGTAATCATGAATGTTATATACTGTTTCCCTCTTTTTGTTTGTTTTTATAGCAATCCCTTACTCATCCGTCATATCGACGAACAAATTTCGGTACAAATCAAGATCATTTTCAAAATTCATTGGTTAGTTGCGGTCCACGTATTTTAGAATATGGTGATAAGCTAGAATTATACAAGGCATGGCGTAAAAAGGGTTTAACTAAAATGATACAAGTTATGTCATTTTTACCAAAAATGAACGAAGAACGATCGAATATTTATGGGAATGAACGATTGGAATTTTTAGGCGATGCAGTTGTTGAAGTTATCTCCAGGTAGTGAGTTAAATAATTTGAATTGTTGGTTAACTTCAACTCGTAAATCTTTGAAAACCAAGGGCGTGTAGCCTCAGGACTATTTCTGTTCTATCCAATTTATGTGGGATATTCCGACAGTGCATGCCCACGACCTCCACCCAATAAGTAGTTATAAAAGTAGGATGGAACAGCTGTCTATCCCCAGTGCTCGTTGGTTTTCAGTGGTTTGCCTGCTGAGGTTAATCTGTATCAAAAACTTTCAAATTTAGTCCATTGACGATTTTACATAACATCTATTTATTTGTAAGCAAAGATGGATAGTGGCTAGCAGTGGAATCCAGGACGCGCGTTTCGTCCTATTTGGGACTCGTCAGCTGGATGTACCTGCATCTCAGAGTTGATGTTCACTCTGGGACTCGAACTCAGTACCGTTCGCTTCAAACGCCATCGCGTTATCCACTTAGCTACTGAGTCCTGATAGCCACTTGCTTGTGCAATGGGTTGAAGTTGAATTCACTTGATATTGTTTTACTTGAATTTTCCCATTGATGTTTTAGGACTGAAATTGATCAGTCTCTTATTGGCATATGTGCATACTGTGCGTATGCCTCGATATTGCCTAAATTTACAAGCATTATAAGCAAAGATGGATAGTGGCTAGCAGTGGAATCCAGGACGCGCGTTTCGTCCAATAAGAGACTGATCAATTTCAGTCCTAAAACATCAATGGAAAAATTCAAGTAAAACAATATCAAGTGAATTCAACTTCAACCCATTGCACAAGCAAGTGGCTATCAGGACTCAGTAGCTAAGTGGATAACGCGATGGCGTTTGAAGCGAACGGTACTGAGTTCGAGTCCCAGAGTGAACATCAACTCTGAGATGCAGGTACATCCAGCTGACGAGTCCCAAATAGGACGAAACGCGCGTCCTGGATTCCACTGCTAGCCACTATCCATCTTTGCTTATAATGCTTGTAAATTTAGGCAATATCGAGGCATACGCACAGTATGCACATATGCCAATAAGAGACTGATCAATTTCAGTCCTAAAACATCAATGGGAAAATTCAAGTAAAACAATATCAAGTGAATTCAACTTCAACCCATTGCACAAGCAAGTGGCTATCAGGACTCAGTAGCTAAGTGGATAACGCGATGGCGTTTGAAGCGAACGGTACTGAGTTCGAGTCCCAGAGTGAACATCAACTCTGAGATGCAGGTACATCCAGCTGACGAGTCCCAAATAGGACGAAACGCGCGTCCTGGATTCCACTGCTAGCCACTATCCATCTTTGCTTATAATGCTTGTAAATTTAGGCAATATCGAGGCATACGCACAGTATGCACATATGCCAATAAGAGACTGATCAATTTCAGTCCTAAAACATCAATGGGAAAATTCAAGTAAAACAATATCAAGTGAATCTATTTATTTGGTTATTATTTCATACGTTTTTTATTCCTTCTTTTCATTTATTCTGCTTGGAATTTATGTTCCCTCTCTGTCTCTCTAATATTTGACTTTTTACTTTCACCTGGACTTCTTTGTTACTTTCCTCTTAGTTTGTTAATATCTGAACGTAACTCATGAGATTAGTATCCTGTCCAGACATTTCATTCTTTGGTTTCATTTACACTCTTTACTGAAATTTACTTTTCATATTTAACAATTTACTACAATTGATATTATCATGATTATTATATTCCGCTACGTTCCAAACCTTGATGATTTCCTCATTGTAATTGGGTTGATTTGAAATGAGGCATGTTGGATTGGTATTCATCTGTCGCGTCAGGTTATACGTTGTTTATGTGACTTACTTATTGATTGCTTATGAAGATTATTATTGTTGTTGTTTAGATAACTGGTCGTTGTCTGTTAATTGTTCAATAACGATTCGTTTTTCATGCTAGCTCACTGAACTGATGGCTTTAAGTTCGATTTTTTACGGGAATGTGTATACAAACTACTGGAAGGTAGGTGTCCAATAATACTAGGACGAAATAATTGTGTTCTGTACTCCATGATTTTCAACATTACATCTTAATCGATGTCATTCCGTGGCGCGCAGTCACTCAGAAGGCGAATTGATTTTAACAAGACTCTTTCATCTAAACTGTTAATAGTCAGCTCACTAGTTGTTTACTTCTAAATGTTCCTGAAATGTGACGTGATCGATGGAGTCCAGGTATCTCAGGAGTAAAGCAGTTCCTACCAGTGGCATTGGATGGTGGGGTAGCCTCGCTGTATCGTGTATTAATTGAGGTCAAAATTTTATTATTAGCCACCGGTTCTCTGATTCTGGTGGTCTAGTATTCGTTTCAAGACATAAAAGTCATGAATCTGATTGCTAGTGTGGTCCTGGATGCATACTGCTGAAAAACCCCTCTTTGTTTTAATAGCTATGATTTTTTTTCTTAGGAATATTGCTTTTAGATAGTCTCCTTTTTCCTCCACTTACCCTCTTTTTCCCTTTTTCTGTTTATATGTATCTGTATGTCCGTTTGCAGTATCCACTTATTCTTCATGTTCCCTGAATTATCCGAAGGTCATTTGGATGCATACCGTCAAGCCATCGTTCAAAATCAACATTTAGCTGAATTAGCTGTTGTAAGTTTAATCATCGAACACTTAATGATTTAATCACCCAGTCATAAACGACAGAATTCAGCACATGTGTTCATCAATTCAAGTTGTTAACATGGCGAGCTGAAACTATCAAGATAAATCTAACAGTAGTAAGAGTAATAGTAATGGTAGTGTTATTGGTAGGAGAAAACACTAGGCATATACAATATAGTTCGAGAATAAACAACCAATTTGTCTAATAAAAAATATAATTATCTTCAGATAAAGAGGGAATTCATATGCGTCATTACGATCGATGAGACATGTTACCTAAACTTTTCTAACATTTGGTCACGGTATTTGAGCAAACTGCAATCAGGCGAATTTCACCTACTATTATGACCCAGCTAACTACTCTTATTGTGTGAGTGAGAGAAAGTATTGATTGGTTGTTTACGTAGATAGACTGGTAGATAATCTGATAGGTATTATGTGTGTCATGTATATATTTCCCTACCTCTTGTACTTAATTGATTGTCTGGTAAATCACGTGTTATTGATTTGAGTTGTGTTAATGCCTGGAAGAATAATGCTGGCTGGGTATCCAGCATAGAGCACGAGTGGATCGTTTATGCAGATAAATCGTTCAGTGCTCATCCTAAGCAAATTAGTGTTCATTCAGGGAAAAATCTGAGCGTTATTTCAACTCGATAGAATGATACCAAATATATTAATGTATATTCTTCCAATTACATCGGAACGATTGTTGTCTAAAGTGATAATTCGCTTTATAGGATTGATCCTCCAGTGTTAAGTGAATGTAATTCAGAAGAAAAAAACTATTATCCAACTGAGTTAGTAATATATATTACAAAAAGAATCCAAACAGTAATTTATTTATGTACAAAATATTCAACTACTATTTTTGTACCATCAGATAAATATCAATAAAAATTAAAGTTACAAACTAACTAGTGATTAGTGCCTCAATTAGTAACAGGAAACTTATTTGGAACTTGTCTCTCAGAATATAACCAATCACATAACACCAAATTGTTATACTTATCCAAAAAGGGTGAGTTTAAATTAACATCGCAGACAGTAAGTTTGTCACCTAGGTGCAACATTTATGTGATAATCACTAAAAATCAATATATTCATTGAGTAGTTATTGAGAAAATTGTACTGAACATGTGTTTTTTCCGACTTGATTTTTGTTTCCTTTTAACTGCTCAATAGTTTCAAACTCGTACATTCGAATCAATTAAATCTTGGACGATTTTGATTTGTTTCTTATTTGTGAGCATTGTATAGCACACATCGTACATTCGAATAAGTGAATATCTGATTTCATGTATCGTATGTCTACTTTTATTTCGTTCGATATTTAAGAATAAATTTCTCGTAATTTTTTAGCGTCTTGGCATTCATAAATACTTGTTGTATACTCATAGTGTAGACTTTTGTTATGATTCTACATTTATCTACGCTCGATCTGATGCATTTGAAGCTTTAATGGGTAAGTTTTATCATGTTGGTTATTGATGTTGTATTTATTCATAGAGTTGTGTGTGCTCTCAATTAACAAAGGGCCTTGAACAGCTTGAATTTTTCAGAGATGTAACTTTGTAGATAATACATCATTAGGTATATCAGCATCTCTGATCTATTTCAAGCGACAGTTGGTAATGTCAGTGTAAATAGTGAATGCAATAATTCAAAAAAATTCCATCAAACTTATATTATCAACAAATGGTATTTCGATTCAAGTCTTAACAATTGGCAAGATAAAAGAAAAACAACAACAATATGTACGGTGAAAAACTGTAGAGTAGTTTTTGATTTTTTCGGATATCTTTATTCCCAACTGTTAGCGGGACATAGACCGGATTAAAGCATGCTCAATGCATGATTGCTTTGGTGCACGCTGATTGGCTAATTCTTAACCAATCAGCACTAGTCGATAGTTGGAGAACACTCTAGAATCTTCTCATGTAGGATACTATAAATATACTGACGTTTTTCTCTATTGTGCTTCTGACTTCCATCTAACCTTGTTATTTGGAATATAATCTCTTCCTGTTCAACCGTGTTTTGATTTGGGGACTTGTCGAGTGAATCGGTGTCCGAGAATACTAAGCAATAGGAATAGCTGGGTCATTAACCGTAAGAAAAGCGATATATAACAGTGGCGACGGGGAAAAAGGAAAACAAATTCAAAATGCCCATATCAGATGACCAGCTTAACCGAATACTACAACAACAGCAAGCACAACTTGATGCACAAATGCGGTTGTTAGAGACCCTGACTCAACAGCTCAACATCCACAGTTCGAGTTCACACGCTATTTCAAGTTCGTCTTGTGATGCAGTTGCTAGCAGCATCCCAGAATTCGTCTATGATCCCGAAAATGGAAATACTTTTCTCACGTGGTTCAGACGTTGGGAAGATACATTTAGAACAGAATTCTGTAATCAAGACGATGCGTGGAAGACCCGATTGTTGGTACGTAAGTTGGGAAGCAACGAACATGCACGTTTTGCTGACCATATTTTGCCAAAGTTACCTCGAGAGCTCAGTTTCGAGGAGACGGTATTTCAGCTGTCAGAGATATTCGGCGAGTCATCCTCGTTGTTTAGTATTCGATATCGGTGTCTAAATTTGGTGAAACGCGAAGCTGATGAATATGGTGTTCTAGCAGACATTGTCAACAGAGAATGTGAACGTTTCAAGTTGCGCTCGTTGACTGATGACCAATTTAAATGCTTAATATTCATCAAAGCTCTTCAGTCACCACAAGACGCTGAGATCAGGACTAGACTTTTGGCTCGACTGGACCAAGATCCAAACGTCACACTCAGAACATTGACAGATGAGTGTAAGCGTCTACAAAGCATCAGACACGACAACGAGTTGATTGAACAGGTAAATCCTAATTTAACCTGCGGTAGTGTAAATACTATTACTAGGTTAAAAGGTCAGAAGCCGGTAACAACTCGTAACAAACCAAGGACTGCATGCTGGTTATGCGGTGATTGGCATTATGCACGATTCTGTCCGTTCAAGAAGCATAAATGTCAGGAGTGCAACAAACGTGGACATAAAGAAGGTCATTGTCCACCGAAGCGTACGTCTCAGCCTAAGAAGAAGCATAAACGTCCTCGACATGTGAAATCAGCCGAGTCCAAATCTCTTTCTTTGGTAGCTGCCTTTCAAACAAACTATGACATTCAGAGAAAGTATGTTACTATCCAGATAAACGGCATATCAGCTCGTCTTCAAATTGACACGGCATCAGATATCACGTTAGTGTCTAGAGAAACATATAACTTGCTGGGTAAACCGCCAATGAAGCCATCTAAGAAAACGGCTAAAAACGCATCAGGTGGTGTGCTAAAACTGGTTGGTGAATTACAGTGTGAATTTTCCTTCAATGGAACTAACTGTACAGGAATATGTTACCTAACAGAACGGCCGAACCTTGATCTTCTTGGTCTAGATATGTTAGACAAACTTGGAATAATGGATGTACCAATTAACAGTGTCTGTAACGTATCGTGTTCATCATTGAACAGCTCAGTACTTCCAAAGAAGACAGGTGAAAGGTTACTAGAAAAACTGAAAAGAAAGTTTGCCTCTGTTTTTCAGAATAGCCTTGGCCACTGTACCAAGATGAAAGCGCATTTACCAGTAAAACCAGATGCCATACCTATTTTTCGCCCGAGACGTCCTGTACCATATGCTGCTCTTGAGCTAGTCGACCAGGAACTTAATCGCTTGCAGCAGGCTGGTGTAATCCGACCAGTTAACTACTCTGCATGGGCCGCACCGATTGTAGTGATTAAGAAGGCCAATGGGACTATACGCATATGTGCCGATTTCTCGACCGGTTTAAATGCTGCGTTAGATGTATATCAATATCCCTTACCAGTTCCGGAAGACCTGTTTGCCAAGCTTAATGGTGGGACATGTTTCGCGAAAATAGACTTCTCCGATGCTTATCTCCAAGTGGAAGTAGATGAAGATAGTAGAGAGCTTCTGACTATTAACACTCATCGAGGGTTATTTCAATACACTCGTCTACCATTTGGCATCAAGACCGCACCCGCCATCTTTCAGCAAATAATGGATACGATGCTAACAGGTATACCTGGTACAGCAGCTTACCTAGATGATATCATAGTTATGGGTTCAACTGATAGTGAACTTTCTGATCGACTACACCAAGTCCTTAACCGAGTGTTGGAGTATGGTTTCCAACTACGTGAGGAAAAATGTATCTTTTTCATGCATTCGATCAAATACCTTGGTTTTATCTTAGATAAGAACGGTCGCCGACCAGATCCTGCCAACATCGAAGCCATTCAGAAGATGCCTGCACCAACTGATGTTTCTTCATTAAGATCCTTCTTGGGGTTAATCAGTCATTACAGCACATTCTTGCCTGAAATGCATCGAGTGAGAGGTCCCCTAAATGAATTACTATCGAAAGATAAACCTTGGCAGTGGTCAGCAGAATGTCAAGCATCTTTTGACAGAGTCAAATCAATGCTCAGCTCAAAGATTCTTTTGACGCACTTCGATCCCAGCTTGGAAATTGTTGTTGCATCTGATGCCTCAAGTCATGGAGTTGGAGCAGTGATATCTCACGTGTTTCCGGATAAATCAGAAAAGACAATTGCCCATGCTGCTAGATCACTTACTCCAGCCGAGCGAAACTACAGCCAAATTGAAAAGGAAGCTCTTGCAATCATTTTCGCAGTCAAAAGATTTCATAAAATGCTCTATGGTCGTACATTTACTCTACTGACAGATCACAAACCTTTGATTGCAATCTTTGGTTCTAAGAAAGGAATCCCTGTCTATACGGCTAATAGACTACAGCGCTGGGCAACAATGCTCCTGAGTTATGATTTTAATATCAAGTATCAGTCGACAAATACTATCGGTCAAGCTGACGCTCTCTCCCGATTAATTGGAGTTCAACATCCCGGACCAGAGGATATAATCATCGCCTCCACAACAGTAGATCCAGAAATACGAAGTATAGTGGCAGATGCCATTCGAAACACTCCAGTGTCGTCAGATGAAGTCAGGGAAGAAACGCTTCGAGACCCAACACTACAAGAAGTTAGAAAGTTCCACCTAGAAGGGTGGCCCTCGAAAATCAGTTCCACAGAGCTTCAACAGTTTTACCAACGAAGACTCTCTCTTTCAATCATCGATGACTGTCTGCTGTTTGCCGAACGTGTCATAATTCCCAAGAAGCTACAACCAGCAGTGCTTGAACAGTTGCATGCAGGACATCCTGGAATAAATCGCATGAAAGCACTAGCACGAAGTTATGTATACTGGCCGCATTTAGACACCCAACTGGAGCAGCTATCCCGTTCCTGTACCAAATGTGCATTAGCGACAAAAGCACCGCGAAAAGCAGAGCTGCAATCATGGCCAATACCACAGTTACCGTGGCAGCGTATACATTTGGACTTTGCTGGTCCACTCCATGGACAAAATTATCTTTTGGTGGTTGATGCATATAGCAAGTGGCCAGAAATTTTTCTCATGGAACACCCTACTGCAAGCTGCACAGTCAGTAAACTACGTCAACTATTCAGTCGTTTTGGAATCCCGGAATTGATAGTTAGTGACAACGGAACACAGTTTACGTCCGGAATCTTCTCACAATTTTGTCGGCAGAACGGAATCCAGCACCTGCGAACACCTCCATTCCATCCCCAATCAAATGGCCAAGTGGAACGCTTTGTGAGTACATTTAAAAATGCTCTAAAAAAATCCAAAGGGGAAGGGACCACTGAAGATATCTTAGAGAGGTTCCTGTTTATTTATCGCTCTACACCGAACCCTCAGACAATTAACGGGGTCTCTCCAGCAGAAGCTCTACTTGGCAGAAAGATACGAACACATTTCGATGCCATCCGTCCTACGCCAGCTATTGAACCCCAACGAAACCTATCGATGGAGAATCAGTTTAACCGACATCATGGGGCACAAAGACGATTGTTCACGGTGGGACAAAAAGTGCTTGCTATGGACTATCGTGGGAAACACCCTACATGGACAGCTGGTCGGATCGTGAAAAAGAAGGGGAGTGTGGTTTACGAGGTGTCAGTTGGCTCGGAAGTTTGGGTACGTCATGCTAACCAATTGAAAGCAACTTCGATAGCCAGCAACAAGATTCAATATCGATTACCTCTTGATGTTCTGCTAGACACCTTTGAAATCAAAACGCCGGGAATAGACACGTCAGTTTCTGTGCAAGAAAAGAGTGATACTTCACTATTGCCTAGACGATGGACTAATCGAAAGCACAGGCCAGTCACTCGGTTGCAGTTGGACCCTAGCACCAGATCCTACGAATCTGCTCAAAGGGGAGGTGTTAGCGGGACATAGACCGGATTAAAGCATGCTCAATGCATGATTGCTTTGGTGCACGCTGATTGGCTAATTCTTAACCAATCAGCACTAGTCGATAGTTGGAGAACACTCTAGAATCTTCTCATGTAGGATACTATAAATATACTGACGTTTTTCTCTATTGTGCTTCTGACTTCCATCTAACCTTGTTATTTGGAATATAATCTCTTCCTGTTCAACCGTGTTTTGATTTGGGGACTTGTCGAGTGAATCGGTGTCCGAGAATACTAAGCAATAGGAATAGCTGGGTCATTAACCGTAAGAAAAGCGATATATAACACCAACCATCAACAATACAAATTTTCGAACTCTGAATTAGTAATTAGTAATTATAAGACAGTTTTCTAGGGTTGATCCGGGTTGAATTTTTTTTGACATGATCCATTTTTGAACATTAGGTACATCTACTGACGGGTCTACTGTTAATTAAAATTCACGACTTGCAGTAAAATAAGTTAATATAACTCAACTATGGTCTATAATGTATGTGTGTATACATACAGACTAATTGTACTATCTATTTGTGTCCAAACTGAAGTAAAGCGGGATTAGGACCCACAGCTTACTAGTGTTTGGTAGTTAATCACTAAACTAACCCCTACAGCATGGTTCGCGAATGTTGACGATAGGCTTTTTCTTTCATTGTTTATTTGCATCATTCTAAATAATTTTGTCGCCTTCTATGACTTTCTCTTCTTTTTTCTAAAAAAAGCTCATTTCGTTCCCATGATAACTAGTCACTATCTGATTGAATTATCTAATTCCCCCCATTTTCAAAATAGTTACAGACACTACACTTAATATTCCTGCAAATATATTGTTAACTTTAAAATAGAACTCATCAATCTTTTCAATGTCCAACGTTCCTTCTCTCTGTAGTTTCAATTGACAATGATCACGCTACAATTACCCATAAGAAAGAATGGTTGAATAATTTAAGCTGATTGGTTAGACAATGGTATAAACGAGCCAACAAGATTGATTATTCAGACCATATAACAGCATAAATTAAACTGTGTTACAATTAGACTTCTGTTTCATCTAGAAATAACTGAAAATGTTGTTATTCGATCAATGCAGATTTATAATTCCACTTTTCATTATGTCAACTGTACTTTTTTATTAGTAATTGGTTCAATGTAACTAACCAAGCGCTTGATCGCTCATTAAGGAGGAAGAATGTATTTGTAAATCTCAGCGAATGAATTTGAAGTAAATCTAACCTTTCGCCTGGAAAATACAAATACATTGTTTCTCTTTAATGTTTCACATTAACTCGGCACCCAAATAGTGTGAAACTATTCGATCAATCGTAGACGAAAAATGCTTGGTCGCTCATAATAGTGATAATGATAATATTTCGCATGCATTTGATTGGTTACTAATAAGTGTATTGGTTAATTATACTATAATTAATGATTATTTGTTACATGTTACATGGTTTTTATTGTGCTTTATATGGTTAGTGGTATAATTGTGAAGCTTTCGTTGTCCGCTATGGACAACTCTTGATTGTCATAATGTATATCAAATGTTTTACTCAAAATAATGTATATATATATATATATATATATATATATATATATATATATCTTAGCTGCAATCACTTTAGACGCTGGACTTGATATTGTTGATAGAATATTTGGTGCTGTTCTATTTGGTGATGATGAAAGAATTCATCGTGTTTGGGTACAAATCCCATTGCATCCATTACAATCACAATGCCCTGAAGGTGATCGATCATGGGCAACAAAAGTCCCTATGCTAAAGGTATTCACTCCATTATTGTTGTAATGTTCATTTTGTGTTAAATTATATCCTCAATAAACATCCATTGTTGAGAAACTTTGATGAGTCAGTCAGTCATAAGCAACGTAGGATCTGCCATATATATAAATTAGTTCAAGTTGTCACATCGTATCAGCGCATAGCCTAATAAAATTATTTAGTCAAATCCTAGACTAATAGAAATAGTAACAATATCAGTGGTAAGTAAAAAGAGTAGACACACGAAATAAACAACCTTGATACATCCTATCTAATCACACAACTTTCATGTTATAATTACTTTGATAGATCAATTTTATAGGCTCATATCATCACATGTGTGTGTGTGAGAACTGACAAGGATAAGCAGACTATTTAACCCGACATATATGTAAAGCGTAACTCGGAATTTCGAATCACTGATTACAAATTAAGCTTCCCTAGTTTGTGAGTTGTCGCTCTGGCATAAACGGAACGTATATTTGTAAATAATAATTCACTGAACTGCCACTTGAAGTTTTTAACAATGGATGTTTATCTTTTTTGATATATATATACATATATAATGTTTCATTAAAATGATTTCCGATCATACTTTGGTATAATTGCCTTTTGGTTTGTATCAATACTGAATTCTAGCCAATCAATATATGTTCTGTACAAACTGAAAGTGTTGTTCTACCAACTTGATCGATCTACCATATTTACTTGATTTTTTTTGTTGCCTCTTTTTGTAATAATAAATTTGGCAGAAATAAAATGAATTTCCTAATAAAACACTTAGAAAAGAACTTTCAAGCTATTTTCTGGTTTGTGATATTTACCCATTGATCAAGCAGTTCTATGTTCATTATTGAGAAGTATGAGGCATACAACAATAAAACTGTGGGTATATCCAACAGTTCTTGTGTTGTTTGTATTAATTATCCTCAGAACATCTTCTGGGAACTGATGTAGAAAAAAATGAAAAAAAGATTGTTCGCTTTGGTATGTATCATGACCAGTATAATGCTTAGAAAGTTAAATCGCCGATTGTTGTCGACTTGTGAATTCTATGAACTTCTATTTGTATTTTACGGTCTATTTTTGTACCACTGATATATGCTCACATTTACTATATGTAATTATTGATAAAAATAATAATAATTTACATGCTTGTATATGGTATGTTTTCATCATTATTTACAAAATTATGACCGAGGTATAAAAAAGGTGAATGGGTTAGTTTCCTGTATTTTTATCTATCTATCTATCTAACAATCACCTACAAGTTTGCTAATGTTCGACATGGTCGTTGTTATGCTTTTTAAAGGAGACTGAGTGACTGGATATTTTCGATTATATGATAAGTACAGTTGTTTTTTCAAGCATATTCGTCTCCAGAAATCTACTCTCGCCTATTCAGGTTCTACGAAACGCGAATAATTCCAAGCACCAGGCAACGTGGAACCAGGAACTCAACCTAAAATTTTTTGATAACTTTTTAAATTTATCCACATCATTAATACAACGAAACTTTGTGTCAGTGTAACGTCCCGTGACAAGATGTGTAAATAATTAATGTCAGGATTCATTTACGTACATTATGTGTGTTATTGGCAACTTTTAATCTATTTAATAAAATGTAGTGGATTGACTGACTAGTTCCCGGTATACCCGATCAAATAAGGGTTTAAGAATCCGAAAATACCAACCCGATGTCTTAAAACTATATTATAAAGTTAAAGATGCCATTTACACCTGTATAATACTTATTCAGGACTGTATGATTTAGTTAAAAAATGAATGGTTGAAATTAGGAATGAATGCCACAGAATGACTAATAATCTTCCAATACTTCACGTTATATTATTTTGCACTGATATTCCTTCCATATATTCTTACGTACATTGTCCAATAGATGGTCTTTTGAATTTCTGTATAGGCCAAAACATCGAAAATGTGCAGTTTCTTCGACGCTGATTTACTGTTCAGATGATAAATGATAAAACAAATGTGCAAAAAATTGTCTGTGCACACAATTCTAGTAGAAATTCCAAAGTTGAATAGAATGTGTACTAGATCAGTTCCTCTACTCAACAGAGTTTATCACTCTAAAATTGAGTTTTTTCCCTTAATTGCAAATGGTCACTGAGAAGGAGGGCGCACTATGACAATCTAGCAATAACTAAACACAAAAAGCTAGGCAAATGACTTCTGACAATTTTTAGGGATGATTTTTTCTATCGAAACATTTATCGAAAAGACGAAAATACTAGTACAACTGGAGATCATGATAAATCTGCACCACACAAATAAATTCTTGAGCAGGTAGCTCATCTGAAGTAAAAAAACTACCTCCATAATTATTGGTTGTCTCAATACTCTCTAATTGTTTTATTTTTATTTTGACATTTCCAATCAAATTTTTCTCTTTTGAAAAAACAAACTATATTCATGTAAATGTTCTCATATTTTTATTTATGTTATTTCCTAACTATCTACCGTCCACTAACCCTTCTAGAAATTGTGTACATTAGAAGATACTTTGGGCATAAAATTTAAACACCTACGTGTTCTTGCTCGTGCTATGACTATACGGAAAACTGGTTTTAATTTTTATACATTGTGAGTTTTGTTTATAATTTCATTAAAGTGAGGAGGTTTTGTGCAAGATTGGTTTTATATGTAGGTTGTATTCATCACAGATATCGACCTTAGTTTGGGCTACCTTTTAAAACCAGTAAGAAACCTGACAGCTATTTAGTTCTCTGTAGCTCTCAGTAGCCTATACCATTAGTTCTAGTGACTATATGTTCTCTAAGAGACCTGAAGGTTCTGTGTTCGGTCTCTGGTTGGGTTGTCAAACATACTGATTATAAATCTCGTACGACTATCTTATGTCTTGGAAAAAAGCTTGGATTAAATGCCTGAGATAATTATAACACCTTTGGTTAGTCCCAAAATTGTTACGGGTTTATACGTTTTCATCATTGATAATATGACATATTTTCAAAGAAAACGGCAATGTCATCTGTAAACATAATAATCTTCTTATATTGATATGGGATTGAAGTTTACGGATCGAATTACATAACAATAAATTTGTGGTCTACACTAGACATTCAACTTTCAATCAACTAGGTCCTTTATTCGAAACTCACTCTTTCCAGTTTAATGTAAACAGCCGGGTTATAGTGTCGTTCTGGTTTTCACATAACCATTGTATTATTCGAAGTCAAATACATTGCTCCTTCTCTGCTCCCTTGCTGGGGTCCGAGAAATCGTACAACACATTGGCTAGAGACATTATCAGATGTGTCTCAGAATAGAAGCCAGTGACGATCCTGCTGTAACCTTCTTTATGAGATTGCTGATGTGCTAATCAAATTCTAGCTGTCAGATCGATATTGAGTTATGAGGTTAATTATTATAATACATCCAGTATAGAAATTTCAATGTTTATAGGTTAGTTCTAGGCAATGTGGATGATTTATCCGTTGTTAATTCCAACAATAATGATGACCTTATTCAATACCATGTTTGATTACTTAAAAGCATTATCGGCACATATTTTTTGAAAGTTAATGTTCTTAAAATAAGAGGTCTCAAATGGTGGTGGTTATAACCAATGTAAATTCATCTGAAGATCTTTCGGCATGTTACATTATATATACCTTTAGTACATGAATTTCACTGTGCTTCCCTCTCATTTATCTAGAGATGGATAATGGATAAATAAATCATTATGTGTGTAGGGTTCTGGAGATTGATGAGTTTTTATTCAGGTCATGAACCAGTCAATGTTAGACCACCATTGAAGACCTGTAAGTAGTATGTAGTCCCATACTTAACACCATGATAACCCAGCTCTGTGGTCCTCACACGAAACGGAAGGTCCTGGGTTCGAGTCCCACATGCGGGATAGCGGATGCGCACTGTTGAGGAGTCCCATACCATAATGAAACGGCTGTCCAGTGCTCCCAGGTTTCCAGTGGTGGTCTAGCTTAGACCGATTCATGATCTCAATATAAGTCACTATTGTTTGATCGTTGAGTAGCTGCTAGTGTCATGGCTCATTAGTCCTTAGCACTGATCGGATTCTATCTATCAAGCTGCTATATAGCCACCAGTCTAAATAATTCGAAATCGCATCCATGATATTTTTAAGTTAAAAATAGTCGTAAGTAGTTAGCGGTAAATCTTTAATTTAGGTTTCGTACTAGTTGTCCCTTTTCAACAAGGTGTATCTGGAATCCTGTGAGAACCAATGTTTCCTGTGAGATTCGAACTCATACCACCCAAATTCATAATCCGGAATGTTATCACTAACCTGTTTAAAGTGTGACTAGTAAAAGACCATGATCATACAGATTTTATCACCAAACAATTCCAACCACCATTGTTGTCTCGCAAAAATTTATAGTAACCAACTTTGTGATAGTATGTAAGCTATTTAAAACACCGTTTGATGAGTCCATTAGATGTTTATCAATTAATTTGAAACAAACCTAAAATCTGAAAATTTATTGCAATGTTTGCACATTTTGAAAATAGATGATTAGAAACAATTAGTTAATTCATTAGTTTCAGACTAAAACAGAAAGGAAAGGTTTTTCTTTCTCCTATTTCTCGCTTATATATTTTTCTATTCAACTGTCAATGATATTTTATGATGTAATATCCTTCACTTATTTTCCAAATATCTTATTTTCATTCGTTGCTACTTTGTTTATTTGTATTAATTTTTAGGGGAGATAATCAACGTTTAGAATTTCTTGGTGATTCTTTGTTAAAATATGTGTCAACAGATTATTTATTTCGACATTTTCCACGACATCATGAAGGACATTTATCACTGTTAAAAAATTCACTAGTGAATAAATATACACAGGCATCTGTATGCAGTGAGTTAGGCTTAGAAAATTATGTTATACGTCGTGAAGATAATAGTATGCATAAATACGATTGCAAAATTAATAATAACAATGATTCTACTAATAATAACATATCGAAACATTCAAATCCGTCTTGGAATACTACTTATATAAGTAGTCAAAATTCAAATATACTCAAATCTAAACAAAATAAAAAAGGTGGTCAAAAAGAAGTTATTAATTCAGATGGAAATAAAAATGGCAATTGTAATAATCCACAAAATCAAAATGTAAAATACAGAGCTGATTTATTGGAAGGTAATTATGAATTATGTTTACTAATACCATCAACATCATCATTTTTGTTGTTGTTGTTGCAAACCTCATTTGCAAAGTATAATATGTATGTACTCAGTCTAAGAGGTATGGCATATTTTGTTTATATGTAGTAAATGTTTATTCAAACTGAGTTTTAGGTAGAATGGGAAGTCCAGCTGTATAGCACATAATGGTTTAAGGTCAAATATTTTAAGTATGAAGTCTTGACATGACCGAACAAAACAATCTATCGTTTTATCAGGAACTCGGCTTTAAGGAATTAGGAGAATAATTGACTGTCATCATGTTGGACACACAACAACATTATGAGCAATTTTATATTTTTGATGATCATTCAAGTGATAAGTTTTGTACTCTGAATACTTTAAATAGTCTTCTTAGTCGCGTGAAATCTTTGACTCGTGAACACCCCCTTCTTTCGACGGAAAAAATTAGGCGAGAAATATGAAAACTGTATTCCAATGATAAAATTATATTCAGGAAACAAAGTTATTTATAGGATTATGTTGAAGTTCTAAGTTTTGAGAAAAATGCCAAGATTGGTAACAAGTTTGTGATAATTGTTTAATCAAATTGACTCATGATCTCAACCATTAAAATTACTATAATATCCACAAAACTCCTAATACTAAGCGTAAGCAATTGTCCTTTCTTAGACATGTCCTATCATCTTGAAATGTCCAAAATATTCGTAAATTTTTTCACTGACTTCTGAAGAGTTTTTTTGAGGAGTTACGCGATGGCTTCTAACATTGTAGGTGCTCATTGTGTTGACAAGTCTCAGATTTAAGAAAGAATAAACATTCCATCCTGTTAGACAGTGTTTCTCAGAATGAAGCTAATTCGTGGCGAATATTATATAGATGCTAATGTACGTATATTTATTTTCAGATGTTCAGACTGAATTAAAATGTTTGAGCGTTTATAACTACAATTTGATTAGTCATTTTTAGTGTCGTATACAATTAACTTGACTGAAAATTGTAAGTTTATATCAATTTTAATACATAACGGTGACTGTATGTAATGTTGTTGTAAGATTATGACTCCATAACATCAATGAATCAAGTGTTGTTTGAATGAAATAATGTGTTATTATAATTTGACAAGACCCCGGTATGGCCGAGAGTGGGGTGGGCCCGCCCTCCCTCTCCAAATGCTCTCACACGGCCACGCGTATACAGCCTCTGCCAGGGAAGTCCTACTCACTGCCTTCTCGTGGCGGGGGTGTTGTTTACGGAAATGAGAGGACGAAAAGCGAATGTCCGGCACTTTAACCGGATCACAAACCAATGGTGCACATGGGTACCAGTATCCTGCGGGAACAAATGGCGTATGAACCAATCATTGGTCACCGGCTACCATGGGGGCTGCATCTCCTCATGACGCTCCACTGCCTTGTGGGTTAGACCTTCAGGTCAAAGGCTCGGGGTGCGGCCCCCTAAGAAAACCACCCGATTCGGTCTGGGCACCCGAGCAGTATCACAGCCCTCACACAAATCGAATGATTTATGTGGCGCATATCTATTTGGTGCCTCCATTACACGACGTTAAAATTGCCTTATTTAAAGCCTCACATTGCAAACTAACGTTCGTTACATAACTGTTAAAAACCAGATATTACTGAATGGTTGCTTTGTTCTAGTCTACAGGAATCTAAGCTTTGCTAATTGACAACTCCACAGAGTATCGAACTTAGGGCCTCCAAGTCTCACACCAACCAGCTAACTTTCAGACCATTAAGTCAGCGCATACAATAGTTTAAGCCACCAACTATTAATTCACAGTACTGTACGACTATTATCAATTCCTGACATTTATCACATATCCGATATCGTTGAACTGTAGTGTCGGTTGCTATGTTAAGCCCACACAACTTATTCTAGTTTCTGGACAAACTAATTTGTTCTTCTCGAGTCACATTTTGACGTCAATTATTCGCTTATCATCCTTGGCTCTTTTTATATGAGTGTGTGTGTGCACCTCTTATCTTATTCATCACATATCTGTAACTTATTTTAGTCTGACCATAAATATTGATTGACGCTTGACTAAATTGAGTTGCCTCACACACCATCTCCACTATGCATTATTTCGCTTCGCTTTATTCTCTTCGCTTCTCTAGTCTTTTGTCTAGATCATCGATTGTATGAAATATACGTATATTTCGACAGCAATTATTTGATAGTAATCAGAAACGATCCAAATGGAGTCATATATAGGGCCTCCAAATGATTGTACTAATTACGGCCTGTAGTGTCAGTTATTATGCTAAGCCCATATATCTTATTCTAGCTTTCGGACATCCCATTCTATTCATTCTACTTGAGCCATACTTTGACCTTGTTATTTATTCGCTTATCAATCTAGACTGTTTTCATATGAGCGTATATGTGTGTGCCCTTCTTATCCCATTAATCACATGTCTGTAGCTTTATTTTGTCTGACTATAAATATTGCGCAACGCTTGACTAAAATGGAGTTGGCTTCCCAGCCATCTTCCCTGTGTGTCATTTTGCTTTGCTCTGTTTCATTCGCTTCATATACAAAATATATGTATACACAGGTCAATTATCGTTATTTGACTTATTTAATTTCGTTATTGACTAACGTGATTTAAGTCGACGATGATATACGAGAAAAGGCGATAACAAACATTTATACGATATAAATAGGAGTCAGATCCACGGGCCACTAAAATGGTGAGCCCTTCAACGAACATCGTCCGATCTAAATGAGGACAAAATTAAATTACGGGCCACTAAAGGCCTCCCAGCAGAATTCCGGAAATTATCTTTTGAAATCAACGACTGTTCAGTATATGGTGGTTGTTATTGTAAGGTGTTGAATTTGAGGTTTAATGTCATGAACTGAATTATTTTGATGTTATTAGTGTTTCTTTGACTTTTTCTTTTTTCATCTTGTCATCTCGCTTATTGATGTGAAATGCAGATGAACCGACGCACACTATCTACTTACTGTCTATCTGACTGACAGATTATTAAATAACTATTATGCCATATATCTATAGTAATATTACAATTTTAATTCATAATGTTTAAAAAACGCCCATTACATAATACCACTGTTTCTCTGTTTTCCCTCGTCATATTTTTAAAATTTTCGCTTTAGCATTTATTGGTGCATTATTTGTCGATAAAGATTTAACATGGGTTGAACGTTTTTGTCAAATATGTTTTTGGCCACGTCTTGTTGAGTTTATTTTAAAACAAGAATGGAATGATGCCAAATCAAAATTACAACAATGTTGTCTCACATTTCGTTCATTAAATGAAGATCCAGAAATTGCACATTATAAAGTTAGTTTTCAAACGAAAACTCCCCTTTCCGTTTTACTATCGTACTCTATTAAATTAAAACAAACTAAGGTTATAAAATGTTTATTTCCATTTGTGATTATACACTTGTTTCATCTGCGCCTTGATTGCTCAAAATATCCCTGGGAATAACGAGAACCCTAGCTTTTCTGTTATTTTGTCAAATCATATTTTATCGGTATGGGGATTTGTGGAGATTGTAGTATTCGCACATTTGAAATAACGGACCAATCTAAGCTAGAAAACCATTGAAAACCTGAAAATGCTGGACAGTTGTTTCTTTCTAGTAGTATAGGGCTACTCGGCGGTGAGCACCCACGATCCCTCACACAGGACTCGAACCAAGGACATTTGGTCTCGTTTATGAACGCTTAACATCTAGACCACTCAATCGGCATCCAATAATGTTCATGTCTAACTTCATTAAAAACATAATCCTTCTCACCCTGTTGTAACGTGTGACTGCAGATTAGATGCGCAGCGTATTATCGATCGGATCAATGACACGTAAACACGCAAGGAACGACCTAGAGTCCCGATCGGCCATGCTTCGCTGTCTAGCCCAGCCATTTGAGTCCAGAACACAAGTCTCAGCCTCTGAGATATGAATCGTTATATTTCAAACATACTCTGTTTATATACCAATCAACCAGACCACATCGTACCATAAAATAGAAAACAACATTGGTACAATATTTAACAAGTGAAATAAGTATTGACCAATAGGGAATGCTCATTTAAAGTCCAAGGACACCATTAGACTTAACATGATAATTATTGGTATATTTTTCCGAATATCCTAACATACCCCTTCATCCATTGCCTGAGGTGGACAACCGTCTCACACACCTTACTTTCTAAAATTCTATATATATCGTTGTTCCGGTTCTTCTCATTCCCAACGTCCCTTACCTCATATTGTATTATATTTCAATGTTACAGTTTAATATTAATCTACTTGTAAGTGGTTGAAGAGAAACTACAAAATACAATATGTTCATACTATCCTGACTCAGTTGTTGTTTTGACTTTATTCAAAGGAGTAAAAATATGAAATAAGACTGTCCCAATTCGAAACAAACGTGGATTTAATATAAGACTAGCATTGTTTGGAGCCGTCTACTGGACAAACGACGAATAATACTGTTTGTAATTTATTTAGTCAAGATCAGTTCACTATGTTAACCATAATGATAGGATCCGTTGGCGAATAGAAACAATCATGAGATACACTTGTTTACAAACGAGACCGAAGGTCCTTGTTTTGAGTCCTGCGTGCGGGATCGTTGATGCGCACTGCTGAATAACCCTATGCTACTAGAACGAGACGACTGTCCAGCACTTCCAGGTTTTCAGCAATGGTCTAGCTTAGATCGGTTCATTATTTAAACTGTGTAAAAAAGTTCATACCTTTGTTAGAATTGTGTCCATAGTAGATTTGAGATGATTAACAATGTTTGTAGCTCAGGATGAGGATACTGAATGTGTTTTTTTTCTGAGCATCTCAGAGACCAACAAAGACGATTTCTTCTGAATTCACTTAATCAATAATCATCTGAACAGGTAATTAGCGATCACAAAATACAACATGCTACCCACGTTCGAAGTTTTCATAAATATAGGTTTTAAATTGTGACCAAATGGCTTCATTGAGACGGTTCGCTTAGTTCAGTTAACGCTCAACACCAACGACAGGCAAATACAAACGACTTGATTACTTCTACTGTTTTCCTTCTGGTATCAGCTTTTGTTGACAATTTATCTTGAATTTAGAAATACAGAATTCCTTGTATTAATTAGTAGAATAATGTGCCACATTTTGAATAACTTATTATTCTCTTATGTTATGTTGTTATCTTTATCAGGTTTTAGAACATAGTGGGCCAACTAACCAACGTGTTTATCGTGTTGGTGTTTATTTTCGTGGTCAACGATTAGCAACTGGTGAAGGTCGGTCTGTTCAACAAGCTCAAATGGAAGCAGCTAAAAAGGCATTGGAATTACATCAAGGTGAGTATTAGTAGTAGTCGTCTGTTTAAATATATATCATATAATGTTGATGTCTGTTGCGCGAACATTCGCTTGTGAAACCAGTTTCCAAGTTGTTTTGATGAATTTTTGTATTTTACACATTTTGTGAATAGAATACACGAATTGAGTTTTTAAAGTTTTACTAAAACTTGAGTAAAACGTTCAAGAAAACCATGAAATGTTGTTAGCTGTTAACGGAGATAACAGTGTAATAATCTATTGTTTTCAAATAGGCTAGACGTTTTAGTAACCACTATAAGAACTAAAAAAAGGTATGAAACCATAGTTACTATTAACCTCCTGTCTTGATGGGAACTTTGAATATATACAGTCTGTTTTGTCTGTTTTCTTTTTCGCGAAATCCCCGTCGCCAATTTGTTGTGTTTTTATGGCCCGCTAGTTATCACGTAATTTATTCTCCAATCAAAATACGACTTATTTGCCCTTGTACTGTACTAAATCAATGACGTCTGTTCGGTTTGATCAGTTTAGCGCCCTATTGGTCCGTTGCCCGGCTAGCCCGCCCAGCTGAGTCCAGAATGCCAACAACAACCTCCACTACGCGAACCATTTATTTCAGACATATTGGGTTTATAAATCAACCAAACAGACCGCAACGCACCATAAAATAGAAAATAACATTCATACACAATAGAGCCAAAATGTGGCTGTGATTGTGGGAGACTAAATAATAAACTGGGTATAATTTAAGAACAGTAAATCGTACATTAATAATCTATAGGCCAAAATGAAGCTTGTAATAAAGGGAATATAAATGTACACAATCTAATTACTAAATAGTTATACCATAAGAATATGTAGATAATATTAGTCCATTAAAATGTCTCAGAAGTTACTTGTAATTTAATCTTCGCTAGGATATAATACAGTCTCTTTGGCTTTATGATCTCCAGTCAACCGTTACAGCGGTTATTCAAGCGAAGAATTCAGGAAAACCTTTTATGGACAGGATCATAGCGAAACGCGGAACATTTCCCATGGAAAATCAAGTATCTGACTCCGGTGAACTCTTAGGTTGTGTAGTGAAATCATCATCCTTATGTCACGGTATCTTACTAAAGTTTTAGAACATCCATGTTGGAGCTACTCACGAATTTACCAGATACGGAACCGCGTACCTGGCTTCAAGCTACACTTTAATGGTGCAGGATAGTGGTACCAACTATTTCTGTAGACCAAAGTATATGAAGCCGGGTTTAATCCTGCAACTTAGTGGTCGCAAGTTGAGCGTTTTAATCAATGAACCATTTGAGTATATTGTTTGAAGACAATTATAATAAGGAAATTGATGTCACATGATAAACCATTGAAAACTAGAGAGCACTGAGTCTGTTTCATTTTAGTGTTCTCACTACTACTTCGCCAGTGATTGTGTCCAGAACCTGTAGGTGTGATAGAGGGTACATGGTTTATTGCTAAAAGCGTTGGAATTTCAGCCCATAATTCACAGAACCAAGTCCTTCTCAGCTTACTTCGGTCTTGATAACCGAGTAGTATCAATAGCTGAGTGCACGAATCTGTTCGTGGTAAGTAGGTAATCACAATTTCTCATTAAAACTCTAATGAATTCGTCCCAAAGTTAATCACCAGGGAATAGCCAATTAGTGATTGTTTCTATTAAACTACATTTTGACTTGGGAAACTATCTTCAAACAAACCAATCTGTACGAATCTCTAATTTGAATATTTAAGTTGTGACCACTGAGTTATCAATTTCCAGATTGAACCCAGGGTACTGAACAGAAATGATAAATTGGTTCATAAAATTCCAAATCCTCACCAAGTGAAGTCATTGTAACACGCGTTGTGCATGCCCAATTACCTTTTACCTTGATACACGATGTTGAATGGGCTACTAGAGCAAGTTTCAGGAAAGAAAAAAGCTAGCAAGCCAAAACATAGCATCAATTCATGAAATCATTGACTGTTTAACTAAACCGTGTTTGCAGGTGCCAACCACCTGGTCGGAGTTCCTTCGCTTGTCGTGACCAATAGTTGGAAATATTGTGAGATGACTTAAAATCGACCTCAGTAAAGCTCGATTATTTACTATTTTTCTCCCGTTAGATCCTGAATTTCAATATTTCATATTTTTTCTCGATACTAGAGATTGATTCTTTCCTCTCGAAGCATATTCTATTTGTGTAATCTTTTTTTAACATTACTGATGCAAATACTTCGATTGCTTCAGCATTCATCTTGTTGTGCTGATTGTATAATGCAGAACAATCTGGACCAATGCGTTTATGAGCTAGGCTCTTTTTTATTTGAATAAATGACGAACTAAATTCATTAAACATTGAACACTATTTCGAAATTTTCTTAAAATTTTCAACAGATACATTTCGTCAATTGGATTTTCAACGTTCAGTTATTTCAAAACGATATAAACAACCTTATATTAATAAAATATTGGATCAAGTACAAAATTGGGATGAACAATTAGTGGAATATTTTATTTCAGATAAACCTACATCTACAACAGTTATGTCGACCTTGAATTCAAATACTACTACGAATAATAATAATAATAATAATAATAAAATTACTCCTATAAATAATAGTGAAAACCAAACAATGAAACGATCATTTCTACCAAACCATAACAATGATATCAATGGAGAAGAATTATTATTGTATAGAAGTACTAAACGTCGTTGTTTTGACAAAAACATTCCTAATCAAAATGCATGTACAAATGAAAAAACATCATATCTCTCCGCCGTATCATCAACATCAAGATATGGCACTTCTCCTTCAATATATCTATCATCACAGACGTCAACTTCAACTAATAATAATGAGGAAGATGATATTGCAATGATCGACAGTAAAACAGAACAACTGAACGCGGTGGAAGACATAGAAAAAGGGAACGAATTGTTTGTTGTAATAAATAACAACGACAATGATGACGTCGAAGACAATATAAACGAAAAAGATGAGGAGGAAGAAGGCGAGATTGTAGAAGACGATGATGATGATGATTTTTGTGATGATTCTAGTAATGATATTCCGAATGAGAGACATTATAAATATAAATTACTTTTAAAATGAAAAAAAAGACAAAACATTGGAACACTGTGTATCTTAATCGTTGTAAATACTACTATTAATAAAAGTAATAATGACAGATGCCAACCCTGACTAAGTAGTCGAATGCATTTTACTCTCTTTTCATTTGTTCGGCCTTTTCTTTTCGTAAAGTCAACGAATTATGCGAATTTTCCTTCTTGCTTAACTTAGAAAAATTCATTTCTTATTGACGGAAGAAAGTGGTCAATCAAAGTTGAACTACTGTTTTATATTTTTACGAACTTAATTATATCACGCAATTTTGAATTGTAGTTATATATATATATATATATATATATATATATATATATATATATATCGCTGTGAAGGAATTTGTCATTCTTAAAAGACATTCATAATCTTGATATACAAATAGTGCAGTTTCATAAGTGATTGTTTAATAGTAATTGAAATGTGTTGGGGACGATATATCCCAAAAACTCATAGTTTGTAATTTTGTCTTTGTGGAGCTTGTATGCAGATGTATGCGTGGGCATTCCTTACCACCCACGCACATAGTTGATTGATGAACTTATCGATTAAATGTTTAAATATATCAATGGCAATCAATTGACGAACTTATCGGTTAAATGTTTAAAAGCTCCAGAGCAATATCGATATATATTTGTATATATACGTTTTAAATTGTGTTTGGTGCTCGCTCGTTTTCTGGCTGTTTGCAGAATATATTTTCCATACCAAGCTTGGACTTCTCCTTCTAGGCCCCCGAAAGCCCTGGTACGGCCGAGAGTGGGGAGAGTCCGCTCTCCCTCTCGAAATACTCTCACACGGCCGCGCGTATACAGCCTTTGCCAGGGAAGTCCTACTCACTGCCTTCTCGTGGCGGGGGTGTTGTTTACGGAAATGAGAGGACGAAAAGCGAATGTCCGGCACTTTAACCGGATCACAAACCAATGGTGCACATGGGTACCAGTATCCTGTGGGAACAAATGGCGTATGAACCAATCTTTGGCCACCGGCTACCATGGGATTGCATCTCCTTACGATGCTCCACTGCCTTGTGGGTTAGACCTTCAGGTCAAAGGCTCGGGGAGTGGCCCCCTACGTTAACCACCTGATTCGGTCTGGGCACCCGAGCAGTATCACAGCCCACTCACAAATGATGAACTCTTTATGTCTATGGAAATTACTCTTCTCGCTTTGAAAAACAAACAATTGATTCAAATTATTATCATTACAGTTATTGTCATTATTATTACTATTATTATTATTTTCCACATTATTCACCCTCTTTTATACTTATACAGTGGCTCGTCTTTGGTGGAAATTCGACTGTATCTAAACGTTCTCGTGTCACTGTCCGGTTGAAAATTGTATGTTACCACCGAATACGAGAACTGAAGCAGTTTTTCTGAAACCACGTGCACCATTCATACTGGCTGCCTTCAACGTTCGCACATTTCTGCAGGTCGGACAACAGATAGGGCTGGCTATGTCTTTGGAAACTCCTAATATTGATGTTTGTTGTCTATCCGAGACCCGTATACAAGACTCTGGCGAAGTACTAAGAATTCGTTCTCCATCTGTCGTTTCGAAAAGCTTGTTTTACGTGCGCTTATCCGAGAACCCTGTGGCATCTTCGTCTGGTCTTGCTGGCGTTGGTGTCGCACTAAGCGCTCGAGCTGAGGCAGCACTAGTCGATTGAATCCCCATTAACAGTCGATCATGTGCTGTTAGATTAGAAAGTTCCATCATAGTGAGAAGAAATCGGCGTGAGAAACGATGTCTTTTCGTCATCTCCGCCTATGCCCCGACAGATTGCAGCCCGGATGCAATCAAGGATGAGTTTTACCACCAGTTATCTGTTCTTCTCCAGAAAGTGCGTCCGACAGATATTGTAGTACTGGCCGGAGAATTGAATGCTCAGGTCGGGCGTCTAGGCACAGAAGAGAGTCGTTTAGGTGGCCGATGGGGACTCGTTGGTCGCAGGTCAGATAACGGGGACCGTCTACTGCAACTGTCTTGGACGATGGGCAGAATTTTTCGAAGGGCAGTTCAACTGGCCTGCTGCTCCGGCAACATCGGTCAGACTGTCCTGCCCTCCATGGCCGGTGACGACTGATCCACCAAACGAGGAGGAAGTCCGCAAGGAACTCCAACTCTTGAAGCGTTACAAATCACCTGGCCCAGATGACTTACCTCCGGCTCTTTTTAAAGATGGTGGTGACTTTTTGGCTAAGGAATTGACGACGTTGTTTACAAAGGTTTGGGAACTAGAGAGTGTACCAACGTCATGGAATGAGTCGATAGTTGTCCCTATCTTTAAAAAGGGTTCACGTCGTTCCTGTAACAACTATCGGGGGATAAGTCTACTTCCGATTGCGTCCAAGCTATTGGCTTCCATCATACTTCGTAGGTTGTTCAAAACCCGAGAAAGATTGACTCGCGAGGAGCAGGCTGGGTTTCGTTCTGGTCGAGGATGTATTGATCATATCTTCACCCTCCGCCAAATGTTAGAACATCGCCATACTTATCAAAGGCCAACAATCGTAGTGTTTCTTGACATCAGGGCTGCCTTCGATTCGTTGGACAGGACTGTTCTCTGGGATTGTCTATTGAAGAAGGGTGTGCCTGAGAAGTTTATTTACATCCTAAAAGCCCTATATACAAACACCTCAGGCAGAGTGAGGGCATACAACCACCTCTCTCCATTGTTCCATTCGAGCAGTGGAGTTAGGCAGGGTTGCCCAATCTCACCATTCCTCTTCAACTTTGCCATAGATGACATTCTGGGAACAGCTCTGATGAATGTAAGTGATGGTGGTGTGAATCTGTTGCCTGGAGAAAGACTCCTCGACCTTGAGTATGCGGATGATATTGTCTTACTGTGCGATAATGCCCAAGGCATGCAATCCGCACTTAATCAGTTGGCAATCAGTGTCCGTAGGTATGGTATGTGCTTTGCACCTTCCAAGTGCAAAGTACTCCTACAAGACTGGCAGGATTCCAATCCTGTACTCACCCTGGATGGTGAGCAGATAGACGTAGTCGAGAAGTTCGTGTATCTGGGTAGCTGCATAAGTGCTGGTGGGGGTGTGAGTGATGAGATCAATGCACGTATAGTGAAAGCCAGAGCGGCTTATGCCAATCTGGGCCATCTTTGGCGCCTTCGTGATGTTAGTCTGGCTGTAAAAGGTCGGATCTACAACGCGTCGGTGAGAGCAGTTTTGCTCTATGTTTGTGAAACCTGGTCTCTCCGAGTTGAGGACGTTAGACGACTCTCTGTGTTCGATCATCGCTGTCTCCGAAGGATTGCTAACATCCAGTGGCAGCACCATGTTAGTAATGCAGAGGTTCGGCATCGTGTGTTCGGGCACTGAGACGATAATGTAATAGGTGTCACCATCTTGAAACACCGACTTCGGTGGCTTGGACATGTTCTCCGAATGTCGTCCCAGAGAATTCCACGTCGTGCATTACTTGCCGACTCGGACTGGTTGGAAGGAGCGGAGAGGTGGTCAGTGTATGACATGGTGTCGTGGTATGAAAGAAAGCTGCAAAGGACTGGCTTCTGTCGGTCCTTCACGGCTCCCTGGTTGGGGTCCGAGAGATGGTGCAACACAGTGACTAGAGACGTATCAGATATGGCTCGGAATAGAAGCCAGTGGTGATCCTGTTGTAACCTTCTTTTACTTTCTTCGTGAAAAGTGGTTGTGTCTCCTTTAACTAAAAGATTTCTTCTGATTGTACCTTTCCGTTCCCCGATTATTGCTATTATTATTATTACACTACCCCACACCAACCTCTTCGTTATTGTTCTCTTCTTTTACACTCCTTACCTTTTTTTCCTTCTCTTTAACTTCTCATTGTTTTGTGTGGCGCATATATATTGGCGCTCTCTTGTATCAATATTTATGTGTTCAAATAAAATAAATAAATGTCATCAACGACAACCCAAACAATGCAACTTTTGACTGAGATGTTTTCCCGCAACGGATTACCGGATATAATCGTATCCGACAGCGGTTCGCATTTCACCTCAAATCAATTTCAAGAATTTTGAAAATGCCTATAGATCAAGCATTTCCGCTCTCCACCTTACGATCCACAGTCAAATGGCCAGGCAGAAAGATTTGTGGATACATCCAGTAGAGCTCTAATGAAGTCAAAAGGGGAGGGGACGCCAGTAGAAATACTGCAGAATTTCTTGTTTCTCTACCGAACAACACCTAGTGATATGCTACCACAGCAGAATTCGCCAGTAGAGGTCCTGATGGGAAGGAAATTGGGGACGATCCATAGTCTCATGTGCCCAAGAAACACACCACCACCATCTCAGAAGCTTCCAGCGTACGAGGTCAGATGCCCGGTGTTCGCTCGAGACTACAGAGCAAATCATGGTCCTTGGATCGAAGCACGTGTGGTTGGAAAACTAGGCCAAGTTATGTACGAGGTAAACGTGGGAAGAGACACGTGAACTAGACACCGAAATCAATTACGGAAGCGGAAAACCCCGGACCGCCCATCAAAAGGAGTAAATCTTCCCCTCGACACCTTGCTTGAAACATTAAACTTACCTGCAGCCCCACCACAAGAAGCTCAACGACAAGCTGATCCCCGTCCCAGAAGGTTGCCTCTCCGTCAGCGGCGAACTACAGTCAAGATGCAAGTCGACCCCAGAAAAGTACGCTATTAAAAAGGGGATGAGTGTTGGGGACGACATATCCCGAAAACTCATAGTTTGTAATTTTGTCTTTGTGGAGCTTGTATGCAGATGTATGCGTGGGCGTTCCTTACCACACACGCACATAGTTGATTGATGAACTTATCGATTAAATGTTTAAATATATCAATGGCAATCAATTGACGAACTTATCGGTTAAATGTTTAAAAGCTCCAGAGCAATATCGATATATATTTGTATATATACGTTTTAAATTGTGTTTGGTGCTCGCTCGTTTTCTGGCTGTTTGCAGAATATATTTTCCATACCAAGCTTGGACTTCTCCTTCTAGATAGCGGGGCTGGAACTCGTCAATAGCTAGATTACTGGTCTTTGGTCACTGAGTCTTGTTCTCGTTCGCAGATTAAGTGAACTCGTGAAGCTTCAAACCTAAAAAAATGGTTGACAGGTGTTTCTCATGATTTTCTTTATTCGCCAACCGATCCTATCATTATGGTTAACATAGTGAACTGATCTTGACTAAACAAATTACAAACAGTATTATTCGTCGTTTGTCCAGTAGACGGCTCCAAACAATGCTAGTCTTATTTTAAATCCACGTTTGTTTCGAATTGGGACAGTCTTATTTCATATTTTTACTCCTTTGAATAAAGTCAAAACAACAACTGAGTCAGGATAGTATGAACATATTGTATTTTGTAGTTTCTCTTCAACCACTTACAAGTAGATTAATATTAAACTGTAACATTGAAATATAATACAATATGAGGTAAGGGACGTTGGGAATGAGAAGAACCGGAACAACGATATATATAGAATTTTAGAAAGTAAGGGGAACGAGGAAGTAATTTTTCGTTATATTTTTGCTATGGTGTCCAAAATATCCTATATTTTGTAAGCCTATTCACTGGATATGACTCATTTGTGTGTGTATAATTAGATAAATTAAGTATCATTCCTAAAGGAATATATTCAACGAAATTAGGCAAAACCAAGAACAGTGGGTCGCCCTTACGAGCACCAGTTGGGGTTACCATTTAGGATGTTAGTTAATTAGAAACTCTGATTCGAACATAAGTTTCCAAAAAATGAAGCGTCGGGAACTTATCCTACTTTCTTAGTGCACATTTCCGTGGAATATGTTGCGACACAACCTCTCTATCAACGGAATCGAATGCTGGTTTAAGGTCAAGTAATATGGTTATCATCGAGCATCGATTTCCGCATGTTTCAAAGCTTACCAGAATGTAATAACTTGATCAATAAACTCAAGATCTGGTCTACGATCGGCCTGTTTTTCTCATATTCGCTATTTATAATCTCTGTTCATCTGTTCAGCAACTACGAAGGTTGATATTTTGGGTATTGTATTGGTCAAACTAATTCGTTTGTGAGGATTACAAAAAGGTTCCTACATATTTTACGATCAAAAATTGAGACCAGTTAGGCTAGATAATGTCCAGCTTCCAAACTTAATTTTTAGTCAAATGAACTACTAGAACTATGTCGCCATCTTCGGGGTTAAGTCATCAGATCACTTAGCTCACCCACGCTTGAGATTAAATATGGTGTTTCTAAATTTGTACCGATTTCCCATTCCGATTGTTTGGAAATATTAGGTAACACGAGAGTAGCTGGAGGGAGATTTAGCTATTTCTGCAAGTGTTCTATCCGTTCTGGCTTTAATGAATTGTGAGTGAATCACTGTCTCGTCTTTTTCTAAAATAATCTAATTAATAGCTAACTGTTTAATACCTTTTACATTTGCGAGCAAGATTTTTTTAAGGGTTACCTAATACATCTGCTTTTCAAATCTCATCACGTACAACAGCATTCAATAGCTAGAAATTTTTTATCACTCAACGTTTTAATGTTCAACGTCTGAGGGTGGTCGAGATTACAAGATGTTTCTCAGATAACAGACGATTTGGTAACCTTCAACGCGTTACTCCGTTGAAAATAGTATATTACATTACAGATGACTTAGATCAACTTTAGTGAAGATAATGTGTGACTTGTTGGAGTTTATGAGTTGTTAACAATAATATCCTGTAACGTAGCTCTCTGTTACTGACAAGGCGTAGAATGCACTCGACACAACACCCTATACTGCTGTCGCGAAGTAAAAGCAAATGGAACATAAACTGACAGAATACATTATTTTTCACAAATACTGCCCGTAACGACAACGTATACACTTATACTGCTTGAACAGTAATAAGTAATATACCACGAAATAGAAAACAAAGAGAAATATAGAGTTTTAAAAAGAGGCGAAACAAGACCTAAGAATTACAAAGACGAAAAGTACATTAAAACATTCCAGACTCTGATAAAGATTCTAAAACTGACTCAGCAGTATTCAAACTTAATTCATAGTTAAAACCATCATCATAAGGTTTATGATAGGAAGGTAATAGAATACGATTAAAAAACCTTTTACAAAGTACAAAATATAAACGAAATGATTTTTTCTTGACATGATAATTAGCCATTTCATGCTTATCAATTAGGCATAGAAATTTTATCCAATTTAAAAATATACCAAAATCATGCGGATTACGATAAATCACTCCACGTTGTTTTAATATTTTTGTGAATTTTGCATTAATATGTCGTTCAATACTTGTCTCACCATTACTAATTAAATATGTATGCCAAGTGCATAGAGCAATTACTAAAGGAACTGCAATTACACTGAAAATGAAACATCCTTTGAACAATGGAATGAAGAATTTATTCGATGGTAAATATGTGTTATAGTTGAACCAAATCGATGAATACTTTACAGTGATATTGATCTAAAAATTAAAAATAAACATCTGAATGTAATACAACACATTTCTGATAAACGGCTAGAATATTATTATTATTCTACAGCAATTTAATGAGTTGTGATTTTTTATGAAAACCAAGTTGGAAGTGTAAAGGACTATCCACAAATATAATAAGATGATAACCACATAGAACATAAATTATTGAATCCCGACAAACTGCTTAAATAGTAAACTTTTTGTTAACAAGTACAAAAGTTATAGGTCTAATGGTACATCAATCCGTGGATATATAGTGATGATATAGAATATAGTGTAACCCAGCATCAAAATACCGAGGGCTTATATTGAATAACTTTCAGAAATTCAGTGTAACAATCATCAATGTTTATCGTATCCAATTAAAATATACGTAATCAGGAAACTATAGCTTATGTTTTTAAAATTTAATCTTAACTCTATCGGCACTATTAAATGTAAACTGGTAGGAAAAGATCTCAATAAATATGAGTTGTTGAACCAAGTACAATTGAGGGAGTATAACCAAATAGATATAGAAAACATAAGATCTGTGACAGACCTATGTCGGCTCAAGTTATCACACTGATACTTAAATTGTTATAATTCTCTCTTACGGTTATAACCCAGCTATTCCTATTGCTTAGTATTTTTGGATACCGATTCACTTGAAAAGTCGCCAAATCAGAACACGATTGAACAGGAAAGAGATTATATTCCAAATAACAAGGTTAGATGGAAGTAGGAAGCACAATAGGGAAAACGTTAGTATATTTATAGTTTTTCACATGAGATTTCTAGTGTTCACTAAGTACTGACTAACGCTGATTGGCTAATTATTATCCAATCAGCGTGCACCAAAGCAATCGTGCATTGAGCATGCTTTAATCCAGTCTATGTCCCGCTAACATAAATCCAGGACCTTTCGCCTTAAACATTGATGTATTATTCACTAAGCTACTGGGGTCAAATAACTATTCAGTAGGAAGACATTATTGGTAACAGTTTGAATTTTTCTGTAACTGGATATCAGCAGATGCTAAATAAAAACCCTTAGTAATAGGAGATCTAACTTGAATAAAAATGAATAAAGTCGTAAGATGAAAGTTTCGGAATAATTCCATTAAGAAAAAGTGGAAGTATGAGCAATTCATTTACTTACTTTTAATAATGATATTTAAAGTTTCCAATGGCGAGACTATAATTTATGGACGAGCCGATCAGAAGCGTTTGAGGGAATTCAAGGTCACGGCACCAATTTTAGTACCTGATGCTTAAATACGGTCGGTTCATAGCGGATTTTAGAGAAAGCGTGATAATTGAGCGCCTACAACAAATGGGACTACTAAGAAATTCCTTTGTTCGTGATTGTGGTAATCAAATGACTTGTGCGGCCTACCGCGATGATGTTGTCTTTCGATGTAATGTGTTGGAGGAAGAAGTCTGTTAGAATAGGATTTTTTCGCTCGATCCAGATTTAAACTAAGGTAAATTATGACAATTGTCGCGAACTGGATAATAAAAGCACCAGTAACACTGACTGAAGCCAGGTACTACAATATATACGGAGGATTGGAGAGCGCACAGATGTCTTTATAGACTTCGTTATGTGCATCGTTTTGTATAGTATATTTTACTCTATACTAACTTTTCTGATTGGTTAATATTTCTCAAGGTTACTTAAAACTCGTTCAAAGGTCGTCCATAAATTATAGTCTCGGCGATTTTTCTAATTGACCCCATATTTTTATCAGGTCATCGCAAGCCTTTTCCCAAGTAACTCAGAGTAGACAGTAGCTCAAAATACGTGACATATCCACCCAGCACAGTTGACAATTAATTACTATTTCCTCAGTTGAGTGAGCACCTTGAACCAGTATTATGTGCCTAACGAAATTGTTGTCTATTCTGTCGTTTTACTGTACGAACAACAGGTACACACCTTCTCAAATACAGGCTCAACCAAAAGCCAATCACACCACAAAGGGTTTGTGGAGATTGCTGAATACTAACGTTTAAATTTTGGATTGATTTTAGTGAGACAAATATTAAAAACCATTTGATCTTTTACGACCAACTAATTATTATAATATACATCCCACCATCCAATTTTGACAATGTACTAGAAGAATTTTCAAATAAATACTTTTTCCACTTCATACTAGTCACACTTACTTGATTTTCATTAATTTCCACTAAGTAGCTTCGAAAGTCTGACCAACCAACAGTTAGCAAATATATCCCACCAATACTCATAAATATCAATACTAAATAAAAATGGCGATGTGTATACAAACCAATACAATTAGCTGTCCATGGACAATGATGATCCATACATAATATACATGTTTTACATATAGCACAATGATGTGCTCTTATTGGACGTGATACAAAACATCGTGAACACATAGTACTAGTAGTATTATATGGAATTCGTGGTACATTGCCGGGATTAATGAAAACAGCAGATAAATAATGGAAATAAATATTGACGATGATTAGATGACTTAATGTAAAATGTAACGAAAACCATGTACCCTCAGTACGTAAACTACACTTGATCGAATTATATCCACTATATAAATAACATGAATTCAAAATGAAAAGACGACGTGGTATCAAAACTGTATACAATAAACATAGAATCAAGCATAAATAAGTTAATACTAATGCGACTAGAGTTCGGCCGAAATTTTTCCGACCACCAAGGTATAACGAGAAACAATTTAAAATTGGTCCTAATATAAAAATTGTGTAAATGGTTGATATAAAATATAAAAACCAATCAATAAATTGATAAATAGATTGGGGTGATGATAAATTTCTGCTTAGGTTAATCATCATTATCTCTGGCATGTATAAACGAATTAAACATTTTAAAATGTAAATGTGGTCAGAGAAAAATGTAGTTTTCATTATTCCAGAAAGAAAGTGCACAAATAGAGCTGAAAAATCGAGAGAAAACAAAGAGAGAAGTAAGTTAGGGTTTTCGCAAGAAATTATCGGACAATTTACCATTTTTATAGTGATTATTGGTTTGTTTAAACGGAAAAATATGAGTGCAAGGGGGAACCAAATATATATGCACCACACTATCATCCGATTTGTGTGAGGGTTAGGATACTGCCCGGGTGCCCAAATCGAAGCAGGTGGTTTTCTTAGGCCACTCCTTGAGCCTTTCACCTAGAGGTTCAATCCGCAAGGCACTAGAACGACGTTAGGAGATGCAGTCTTATGGTAGCCGATCACCAACAATAGGTTCAAACACCTTTGTTCCCTCAGGATCCTGGGGCCTATGTGCACTACTGGTTTGGAATCAAGGTTTTCCATCTCCTCTTGGTGGATCCTCCATGTCCACTAACCTGGTTAAAGCACTTGAGATCCGCTTTTCGACCTTTTAATTTCGTAAACAACACTCTCACCGCGAGAAGTAGTGAGTAGAATTTCCCTGGCAGTGGCTGTATACACGTGGTCATGTGAGAGCATTTAGAGAGGGAGAAAACTACCCAGCATCGGCCGTACCAGGGCACTTGGGGATTATATTCTAACCATGGAATTTTATTGTCAAAGTTCAACGGTCATAAAAGCTCGAGTTTACCCGTTTTTTTATAAGCAAATAAATACTAAGACTTATAGTTGCCAGTACCGATTGCTTTACGTCGTCACTAACAGACCACGAATTTGAGTACATGTAGATGACCAGAGTTCATTCGAGTGGGTAGGGAATGGTGCAACCCCCAAGCTTACATAGAATTTATACCTCACGGTTAGTAACCTAATACAGATTACTCTTTTGTAATACCCAAGACCTACGGCTATATTGATGTCTGTATAGAACAAACATGACCATACTAAGGAAATGTATTATGGAAAAGTAGAGAAACGTATATTAGAGACACGGTTGCATAAGCTAGTCTATGGTGTGTACCTAAGTCGTTTGCCCTAGTTACCCTTGACCTTGACAATATTCGACACTCCAATGCTTAGTGAATTGTCGTATAATGTAGAAAATATTTAGCTTCACAGCTGACTTGGCTATGGCTAAGTGGGATTTTACCGGCCTTAACAATTATTATATTTTATAACTTAGAGCCCCTCACTAAAATTTTCATACATATATACTTTATTGTAATGACCTATTAGCAGTTGAATTACTGACTGTTTGAACAAAAAAGCTTCATTCATCTAAAAAAGATAAACCAGTAATGGACTTATCAAAGTAAACAATTGTTGTAACAAAACAGAATGGCAACAATTGTCGGATGAAAATAAACTAAAGATTTTGCATATACTGACCTAGAACTGTGTATCCAATAAATTATACTGGCCAAACTATAAAAATGTGTGAACACCTAAGGAGTACGTAAAAACCGTAATAAAATACATTTTCCTGTTTATTAACCAATACGTGACTGATATATATGCAGTAACTGTTTAGCTTGAGTCTAAGCTGATAAATGTTTGCCTTTTACACAAAATTATCAACCTTCCACACTGATTTACCTACGATATACCTACTAATTATTTCATAGCTATAATCGGCAAGAACAACTACCTGAAGAAATTTATAGCTAAATATTTGTTTATTACAAGTGATCTCTGCTACCAAAGGTCAGGAGTAAACAAAAAGAGGAAACATGTGCACAGTACTCGATGTTTAGTTAGTAAACAGATATCTTTGCTGCGCTACAGGTACAGAAAGTTCCCCAAAACGGTTGTAGGACGTTAACATTTTTATGACTATTCGTAAACATCCATTTGCAACCATTTTACGGATATATTTTAGGCTTTGTTGGCAAGAAATATTTGATTTTTATCGTAGTGAAGAATAGTTTATGAAGAAAAAGCAGCCCAAAAACTATTCGACATTTGAGGTTAATCTCGAACGTCCCAATAAATTTAACTAGCCGAACGCGAACGGTAAAATCGATGACATATACCCTCATGTTAATCGACACTACCATCGATTACTAAAAGCAGGTAAAACTACCGGAAGAGTAACAACTGTCTTAAAAAGCCGGTGACTGAGTCCACTTTGAACACCATTAAACAAACATTTAACAACGAAAGCTACCAAAAAGGGAAACTAGACGTAAACACGGGGAAAGTAAAAGGGAAATGCGCTATAAAGTCCTTTTTTCGTCTGCATGGGGAAATAGTGCGACAATTTCCCTTACTGTCACTGGATTGTCTACATCTCCCCGGACGTATGTCGCCATATCACTCAATCCAACTACCACAATTAAGTACTTAATTATTAACCACGTTGCTTTTTATCGCGAGGTTTATCACTCAAAGCAAAAGGACACAAACTCAAACGACCCAATATAATGTTAAAGCTATTATGTTGCAAATTACTAGTACTCTCAAGAGATAAAATTTCATTGAACATCAGGTTTTGGTATAAAAATCAACTCACTTCAGAGAATTGCTACGAACTTAAATAGAATTCCGTAAACACTCCACACGATTGAAGTCATTATAACTATTTACATTATAATACTATGTATGTAAATATGTACATAGTTCTTTGACTCACCGCCGACACTATAATTTATGGACGAACTAATCAGAAGAGTTTTAGGAATTTCAAGGTCATGGCGCTAAGTTCAATAAGTGAAGCTCACATACAGTTTCAGTTTCAGTTTCAGTTTGGGAAGGACAGGAGGCTCGATGGCCTATGTTAGTCCTGGCAATGGTGGTCTCTCAGTTGATCCAACTTTCTTTTAAAACAGTCGACGGATGGAGCCTCAACCACGTGCTGAGGTAGTGAATTCCACTCGTTGATGATTCGATGGGAAAGTCGATAGTCAGCTGACAAGTAATTTGTTCTCGGCTTATGAACTTTTTTGGAGTGTCCTCGTAAATTCTCTGTTTTGGAAGACAAGAAAAATGAGGGCATATCAGGTGCAAATTTATCACTAAGCAATTTGTAGACTGTAATCAAGTCGCCTCTAGTTCTGCGATATGACAACGGGAAAAGGTTCAGCTTGGCCAGTCGAGATTCATACGGAAGCTTCGCTATTGCGGGAACCAGCTTAGTCGCCATTCTCTGAACCTTTTCCAGAAGCTCTCTGTCTTTTTTAAAGCAGGGGCTAGCCGCTTGTATGCAGTACTCAAGTTTAGGACGAACGAACACTGTATACAAAGTCAAAAACGTCTTAGTGTCGACATGACTAAAAGCCCTACGTATTGACCATAACGTTCTAAAACTTTTGGCGGCTATTGCACGGCAGTGTGCAGTAGTCTTTAAGTCTTGACTAACGATAACTCCTAAGTCATTATATGTCTGGACGACAGGTAGCTCAGTGTTATTCATCGTGTATGTATCTGTGCCTTGATGACCGATATGCATCACAACACACTTGGAAGTATTTATCGGCAACTGCCATGTTTGAGACCATTCAGATAACTTCTTCAGGTCATTTTGAAGTTCTAAGCTATCACTCTTACATCGTATCGTTCTCCATATCTTGACATCGTCAGCATATAGCAAGACCGATGATGATAGGAGACAAGGAAGATCATTTACATATAAGAGGAATAGCACTGGCCCCAAAACTGTACCCTGGGGCACTCCACTAAGCACAGTTTCCCAGCTAGATAACTTTGAGTTCACCCTTACTCTTTGTTGACGCCCAACTAAGAAGTCTTTTATCCACATCAATAAATTACCTCCAATCCCAACTTTTCTTAACTTATATAACAGCCGGTTGTGCGGAACTTTATCAAAAGCTTTACTGAAATCAATGAAGGCGACGTCTACAGGTAGCTTTTGGTCCTTAAGAGCACACCAGCTTTCACGAGCCACTAATAAGTTAGTGAGACAAGAATAACCTATTCTGAAGCCATGCTGCTTCTCCGAGAGGATCCGGTTTTTATCGAGATACTTAAACAGCTCCTTCCGAATAATCTTTTCTAATATTTTAACAACCACACTAGTTAGGCTAACGGGGCGGTAGTTCTCAGGTTTGTGTTTCGTGCCTGTTTTGAAGACAGGACTTACTATGGCGTTTTTCCAATCTTTCGGTAAGCGACCCTGCGTAACGGATAGGTTAAAGCATGTACTTAAAGGGTTCGCAACGAAGTTAGATAATTCCTTCAGTAGCCTAGGATGTAATTCATCGGGCCCCGTGGATTTACCTATGTCAAGCTTATTTAGCAGACCAAAGACATCGAGTTCTTTAATGGTCACGCTATCCAGTGTATGTATGGGGGGATCTGTATACGCTGACGAGAAGGGCGCTTCTATGGTATACACGTTGCTAAAGTAGTTCGAGAACGCTTGAGCCTTACCAAAGTCGTCCTCCACTAATGATGAAGCAGTACTGTCTCCCCATAGAGCAGGAATATTTCCTTTTCTCCTTGTCCTTTGGTTTATATAGGAATACAAGCGTTTAGGACATTCTATGGATTCCTTAACAAGTTTTTCTTCGTACAATTTTCTAGACTTACGGAGGGTCGAGGCACAAGTGTTCCGAGCCTTTCGATACTGAGATTTTGACTCATCAGTCCCCAGTAACCTAAATCTATCCCACGTTTTCCTTTTCTTACGGAGAAGGATACGGACCTCCCTACTGAACCATGGTGGTGAGTTTTTCGGCCCCTTTGGTATAGTCCAAGGGATGTGAGGTGTGGTAACTTTTAAGTATGATTTTCGAAATGTGTCCCAGGCCGTTTCAATGGAGGACTCTGGGTCTATTGTCCAATCTATTAACGATGCTGAGTGCATGATGTCTGGTATGTTTGCTTTCCAGACGTTGGGTCTGGACTGAACTGACGCGTCCTCATGACTGGCAGTTATATGGAAGTCGAAAGTTAAAACTGCGTGGTCACTTTTACCTAAGGGTGGCATATGGTGGAGGTTCGCAACATCATCCTCATAGTGAGTCAGTATAAGATCTAATAAGGATGATTCAGTGTCCGGGTCGTATCTAGTCGCTTCTTTCACATGTTGCACTAGGGCACATGTGATAACCGCATCAACTAGTTCCTGCTCAAAGGAATTTTCTGACGATTTAGTTCGCAGATTTTCCCAGTCTACCATTGGTGCATTAAAGTCCCCTAGGATTAGACATCGACCACTTTGGGACCAAGTATTGAGACTGCTTAACAGGACCTCATTTGCCTCACAGCTTGGACTGCGATAGACCAAACCAATCAGCAGCTCTTGTCCCTTGCATTTTAAGCGAAGACTAACTAATTCGCATGTCCCACTCTCATGGGATACACTATCGATAATGGTAAATGGGATAGCATTCCTAATGAATAGAGCTACTCCCCCTCCTTTGCGCTTTTGTGTTCTGTCGGCCCTTACTAACGTAAAGCCCTCGAAATCAAGTTCTATACTATCTATAGCCTGTGTCAGCCAGGTTTCTGTTACTGCGATTATATCTGGCTTTATAGAGTCAATCTGTACACCTAGTTCCGATCGCTTATTAAGTAAGCTTCGTGCATTGGTGTAACAGATCCGAAGCCTGTTTAGGTGCCTTCGTGCTTCACCCAGAGTGGCTTCGGCATCATTCTCTGTCGAAGTCTTACAACCCGAAAATTTACAATTTTCAGGTCCTTTTCGCCAGCGTCTAACCTATGTTGTAGTTCTTTCTCGGCTTCCCGTCTTTTAACACGGTCTGCCAACGGTAGGTCCTTTCGGATAAAGACTCCCGAACCCTTTAATTTGTGTCCATTTTGTAAAATTAGGTCACGTTCGTTTGAAGAGCCGAATACTACTTTAAGCAGTCTGGAATGATTTGGTTTCGAGTCCGTTAGACTCCCTAGTCTATACACCTTTAGCAAGGTGACCCCAGTCATATTTTGAGGCATGAATTGATTAAGCAGCTGCCTAATCAGTACAATGTCATGCTCAAAACGAGCTTTAGGTTCAGAGCTATCGCTCTCCTTAATTCTATGAAAAATAGCTGATCTGTCGCTATGATCAGCTTTCGATTTTTCAACCACTTTTACGGGGGCAGGTTTCCCTTTTATGTCAATACTTTTCTTCCTTACAACCTTTACCCATTCGTTAACGCTGCTGGTAGAAGCAGTAGCAGTTGCGTCAAAACTAGTGTTGGGTTTTGGGGGGTTGTCGACGACCTGAGGGGTCGTGTTATGTTTACCAGTCAAAACCGATCGAGCCTTGCGATTGCGGCCCCTAGGTGTTTCCTGTTGGATCCCATCTGGGAGACGGGGAACAGAAGACCCTGCTTTTCTTGAGCTTTTTTTTAAGGCAGACCCCTTTGGATACTGCTTTTCCTTCTTCGACGGGCGTGAGTCATCTATCACCGGACTCACCTTAGTTTCCTTCACATTGATTTGCGTGTCAACAGATCGAGTGCTGTTTGACGCGTTCCGACTATGCTTGTTGAAACACTTCTTGGCAGCATCAACCAGTGAGATAGCCTCGGTTAACAAGCTGTTTGCATCCGAGCAGCACTGTTGACAAAGCCACACACAACCCTTCTTACTGAACCGTTTGAAAGCAGCAGGCGTTAAGTTCGTGCAAACTTCGTGGTACCAGCCTTTGCACTCGTCGCACTGCATGCCGCTTTCAACAGGATAACGACAACCCGGACGTTGGCAACTGCTTTTTTTACACTGTCCGGTCATTTAGGAGGGGTTTTTTCAATATGCGATGATACCCAGAAACAAAAAAATTATCAATGACCAAAAAAGTGAAGAGCTGTAGATTGCTAGGACCAAAAGTACTAACAGATACAGTTGAAAAAGTGGTACTAAAGAGTACCAACGACAAAACAGTAAAAACGATACTTTAGTCGAATACTTTAACTGAAATAAATTCAATTAAAGTGAAAAACAGTAGTCTTGATACGTAATAAACGATCAAAACAATGAAATTTACTCAGCGAGGAAAAATACCACTGTCCTTTTTAAATAGCGCGGCAATTGTGGTTGTTTTACAGCAGATTTTAGAGAAGAGGTGATTGTTGAGCGACTACAACAGATAGGACTATTAAGAAGTTCCTGTATCTGTGGTTGCGGCAATCAAATGACTGCAGTACGATGTGTAGATTATCGTGACGAGATTGTGTTTCGTTGTTCGTAGGCCTCAGGCGGCCTGCTTGACTATCTGTGCTACCTGTTCCTCCGATCTAGATATTTCATCAAGTTATCTGTTTCGTTGTGTTTTAGCATATCATTATGTCTATTGTGTGCACAGTTTATTCAGGCGTGTTTATGAAAAGTTTACAACCTTTCGCTGTACGTGATACAAAAAGGTACAGTCAGCGACATCATGGTAGTTGGCAATATGCATTGAAACGAATGAACATTAATCAAATGTGGATTACCGAACTCCTAACATCTAACCAGTCATCATTCAAAATTTATCGTCACAATAGATCAAGGTACAAGAAAAGGAAACTTGTTGAAATACTTTATGCTGAGAATTCTATGTTGTACCAAAAATATAATTTTGAATAAAGCTTCTTATAATAATAATAGATGTTGGAGAAAAAAATGCTCGGACTGGCAATTTCTTCGCTCGATCACGACTCACACTAAGGCAAATCATGATAGTTGTTGCAAACTGGATTATAAAGTCACCAGTAACATTGGCTGCGTTTTTCGCAGATGTTACAGTACATGCAG